AAAACCAGTAATACAATAAGTACATTTGGCAATAATCCATCCCCTGGCCACTTGCTAGGCATCTGCGAGCCGGATTCGATTCGCGGGCACCAGTTGAATACCACTGCCTTACAGGACATCGCAGAGCCAACCCCATGATTTTTTTTTTTAAATAGTTTGGTTTTACTGGGCAATTTTACTTTGTGTAGTTTGCCATTTATTTTACTGAAACGGCAGTTCTCGATAACATTGTCCAAATCAACGCAAAGCGGTCTGCTGTCAAAATGCCGTCACTGGAATAGAACTGGATATCTTGGAATTCTGTCAATTACTGCCTGTATTATACCACTTTTGCGGTGTAGACAGGGGGGTCTTTGAGCCTGAGGATTTACAACCGCATGGCTAGTGCTGTCGCCACGACTGTGCAGGTGAGGCTTTTTTTTTTTTTTTTGGCCCCCGACAAAAAAATATCCCCAGCCTTACCGATGATTCGAACCCGGGTTTCCCGATTGAGAGACCAGCGTTCTAACCGTTCGACCAGCCGATCTTCAATATCCTGTAATTACTAAACTAAAACGCAGTTCTGTATCTTTTCCAGTGTGATTTTCTTTCTCCTTTTAGTAGGGTGTAGGTAATTGATTTAATTGCCGGTAAAGACTTCTGTCGAAACGTTCAATTGTGTATGTTTTACATCACTTCCCTTAGTTTCTTAGTCCTATTTCTGTATTGTGTCCATATATGTCATGGTCTGCAGACGTTAATCTATCCAAAAACAGTAAGAATAACTACGGCTTAGTCTGTGAGGAGTTATCTACCTGCCTATACTTTCGTTGCACAACAAACCCCATGCATTTTGTGTTTGTTGCTGTTGTGGATTTTGCAGGCAAATTTCACGCTCAGTAGTTTGCCATTGCTTGCTCAATTGTCAGCTCTCGGTACCACTGTCGTAACCAACGCATGACAGATAGCCTGCAGCTGGAATTGAATCCGGCATCCCGACATTACGAAGTGCGTTCACCACACCTAAGCTTCAGACGCCGACCATCTGTGAGAAAGCCTACTGATATTTCAACCTGAGAATGCTAGAAGACGAAAGTTAACAGCAATTCCCACAACTCTGGCGGACCATATGCACCCACACTTTGTATTCACCATGAGAAGAGCCAAGGTATCATCTAAATGAGTATGGACTGCTTGTCCAGTTGTGTGGAAACTACTTCATGACCAGTCCCATGATCATCAAGCTGTAGAAGAGCGAACAGCCCAAATAATCAAATAATTAGGTGTCCACGACAACCAGCACGCTTAAAACAACAGCGATAAAGTCGTTCATTTACAACTACCAGGATGTTAAGGTTAGTTGCGTATCTTTTACAGGACCTTGCAGAACCAACCCCAGCAGCCCCTGGCTGTTGTGTGGTTTTTCTAGGCAAATTTACGTCCAGTAGTTTGCCATTGCTTCTGGACGGTCAGCTTTCTTGATACCACTGTCGAAACCAACGCAAGGCGCATGGCCCACAGCTAGGATCGAACCCGGCATCCCGGCATTACGAAGCGTTCGCATCGACTTAGCCACAGAGCCGACTACAAGGATGTACATTTGTAATATGTAGCAGCTTCTGCAGCACGACTCTCATAGTACACGGGGGTGGGGGGGGGGGAAACTGGGGTGGGGGGGGGGTGGGGAGACCAGTATCAGCTTTAGATCTCTCTTTCTCTCTTTCTCTCTCTCTCTCTCTCTCTCCCTCTCTCTGTCTCTCTCTCTTCCTCTCCCCTTTGTCTCTCTTTTTCCCCTCACTCTCTCACTCTCTAAATTCATGTTATGCTACCAGTATGTTATCTCTGTACATCGGGCATTCACATGCGTGCTCAGTCCTCCAATTCAGCAGCAATTCCTAGGTACCTTTACTAATTGTTACCATGACAGGTTGGTTATAACATCTCCTATCTCGGTCTTAAATGCAACATAGATGTGCTTCACCATATTTTACTCACATGTCACGCAATCATAATAGTGTCAAAGATTCGTCATTATCCACTAGCCAGTCCATACGGCGTTGATGATATCTGCTCTGTCCATGCTTCTTTCCTCATTATCTAAATGCATGTGTGTCTATGTTTGTCTAAAATCCACTTTCTCCTCCCAAATTCTCATTCTCTTTTTGTACGTCTCACCATTCTTTACTTTCTCCCCCTTCTGTTTACCCCACTTTATCCCATCCTCTGCAACCTCAGAGCTGGCATAGCCTTCACTTGCTTGTATCTATTTTAAAAGACCTTAGTTGATCGTTCGCAACCGTCCGTCTCTTGTTAGCAAATATTGTCATCCTCTCTTCCTTCTCCCCCCCTCTCTCTCTCTCTCTCTTTCTCTCTCTCCCTCTCTCTCTCTCTCTCTCTCTCTCTATCTCTCTCTCTCTCTATTTCCATCTTTATGTTTTTTACCCGTCTCAATTTTATCTTTCCATGTCTCCTTATATATATATATATATCTCTCTCTCGCTTTTCCCCCCTTTCTCAGTTTTTAACCCCTCCCCCTTCTCTCTAACCCTTTTGCCCGAACTCCACACCTTTCACCTGCGTGTATCCATTCCCAACGACCCAAGTCCACCTGTAGCGACCCCCTACGCCTGGCCAGCAAATACTGGGCTCTTTGCACAAACGTCATCCCACAGAGCTCCCTTTAACAGGAAGCTAGGATCTGACCCGCTGTGTACAGGGAAGTCCAGAAGGCTTTCCTTATATATTCTTTCGCGTTTTAACTGCCATTTAATCGGATCTGGCAAGGAACATGCACTAGAGTGCTGGGCATACGAATGTGAACTTATCCTGATTCAAACAAAGCACGACAGCTTTCATCAGTAGTAAAGACACTTTCCTCTTTTTGAAGGCAATTAATAGTGTTTCGTGATATAGAATAACACTAAACACGGTCTGGTGATAATTGTCAGTACAGAATTAGCCTAAAAAGTTCTATGGTGTGGTTTTTTGTAAGGTATATTTTCGATACGTGATGAACTTCTTCGTACAAATGGTGTTTTGAAGTATAATTTACTTTATATAGCAGATATTTTTATGTAAAGCTGATTTTAGATACTGTATTTTATTTCATTATCTAATACTTAAAGATGTGAAGATCAGGATTTAAGGTCGATGTTTTCGAATGTTCATGATCGGAAAACGTCTGCTGAATAGATCTGTTTCGTTTTGCTGTGTTTACAAATTTTAAAAATTATCTTTTATAATCAATTGTATTGTCAATAGTGTGTCAAATCAAATACAAATACAAATGGCAAGAGGCGTTTTTACTGCACTAGGAAATGTGTGGATGCCAAGTAAAATTAACAATAATATTAAGCTTCCAATATAAAGGCCTATTATCAAATCAATACGCCATAGGGATTGGAAACACACAAAACAAAAACAGCTGATACTAACAAACTTGAAGCATTCAATAATGTGTGCCTGCCCCGAATATAGGGAATTAAATGTTAAAGTTAAAGTCGAGAGGATCGACTTCCTTTCATCAAGTTTTATCCTTCATGACCCGATCTTTCTCACTATCACCTATTGGCTGGCCGATAGACAACTTCGTCGCCGATCTATACAGTATTTGGGTCTTTGACTTCATCAACATTTCTATTCAAAGCTACTTGGTGGCAAGCCTTGCAAAACCATTTTATATGGCGCACATAACCTACTCATAGTTATAACCTAATGCTCCCCCTTCGGGGATGCTGGTTAAACGTGACAATTTTTTTTTTTTTTTTTCAAATCAAACCGAGCCAAGCGAATCCTAAGCAAATACCAGTATTTTTAGGCGAAGAAAAAAACAACACTGCTTATTCTACTATATAGATAGCTTAAGCAAACATCAAATGTCAATACTAGAAAATAATGATTCGAAATAATACCTCTTTCAGCGTAGCGTTTTTGAAACTATTGCTAAACTTTATAATAAAACCTGGTCAAGATTTGTGGCTTCTAAAATCTAGCAGTGTCGGGGCCTGTAGCTTGGGCGTTGCAAATGCGCTTCATTTGAGGTGCCAGGTTCGATTCCAAGTGCAAGTGATTTGGTAGCAAACCGCCTAGCGTTTGTTTTAGCAGTGGGTATCGAGAGCCGATCGTTTACAAAGCAATGGCAAACTATTGAACCTAAAATCGCCTAAAGAAATCACAAACAGCCATAACGTGATGGGGTTGTTTTTTCTGCAACGTCCTAAAAAGGACACGAACATACGAACGATCGAAAGAACGAACGAAAGAACTATATTCAAAGAGTCACACATTGCTCACGCAGACCCGCCCTACATTCGGCCCTTCCAAACACCCATCATTTACACAGCAGTTTTAGTTTATCAATAAAGCATGTTATGTTCATATATGAATATGCATATTACGTTCATATAATAATATGCATATTATGTTCATATAATAATATGCATGTTATCTTCACATATTAAAATGCATTTATGTTCATATAATAAATGTTATGTTCATATATTAATATGCATATTATGAATATCAAGCAAAAACACAGAAGCACATGTAGTAAAATGCATAAGCATGCTCTCTCTTGCGCTTACACACACACACTCACACACACACACACACAGATGTACAAAAACCTACTCACTTACTTACACGCACATATATGCACCCACGTACACACATACATAACACACATATTCACACACTCATACACACACAGACACACTTCCACAAACAAACACACTCAAACGCACACACACATGCACACTCGCGCAACTAATTAACCACCTCATTGCATCCATTAAAGTAGAAAGATACAAAATCAACATCTGTTTTAAATAAAATTGTTGTTATGATGATTCAGCTAAATTTAATGATGCTGCAAACTAACTTATGAGTATTGTTTTTCTAGTATCTTCCGCACTTATATATGGTCAGAATTACTGTTATTCTTCCACCCCCTCCACCCCGCCCCTACCCCCCCCCCCCCCATTCCGTAACAACTTCATCATCAGTCTACTGACTGATAAGTAATGCCAAGCCCAGTTAGCGATTGTTAGGTAAATTCGTTAAATATTCCAGACTGTATTACTTTAACCCCTCCCGCCCCTCACCCCCCCCCCATCCCAACATCCCAGTTAGATAGCTGGTTATATCATGACCATATGGTGCCTCACTGTGTCTGTTCTATAACGGTTGACCGTGGGGTTTCCGGAGTTTGATATTGTTGGATTTGCGTCCAGAAAAGAACTCCCAGGTGAAGTTGAGTTGAGTCAAGAATTGACATCACAGCACTCGGGGTATTTCCATGAGTGTTCCGTCCTCATCTTCAGCAGCCAGCACAAAGTTCCAATACTGATTGTACCGGTCACAGTCTAGTTAAAGGTCCGTCTTGCTTTCTTCTGAGTGTAGTGAGCCGGCCAGACCCTTTGGTTACACTTAGGTGCCTCATTCTCGCCAGGCCATAATAATCTTGTTTCTCTACTGGTTCCGTTGCTTGTTCCCAAAAGGCCTTGACCACATCTGCCTTGTCATGTATCAATTCACCACCCAGCGGTGCAGATCCAGCCAATCTGTCTGCTTGTTCATTACCCGCCATGCAGGCCAGTTTGTCTGCTTGTTTATTACCCACCACGCCGGCATGGCCTGGAGAAAAGATCCAAAGTATGCTCAGTAACCGTGACCTTCCCAGTGATGCTTGCCACTCAGCTCGAAATATCCCTGTCTTCACCTTTCTCAGCATGTTTTTAGAGTCTGTTACAATTACTACATGTGCATGCATGTCTTAGGTGAAACCAGCCTTAAATGAGTTTTGAGGAATATCACTGGGTGATGTTAACTGTTTCTACCATAAGTACATATTGGTCTATACATAAAAGAGTCTAATGCCATATGAGCAAAGCATTTTTTTTTTCAGCATCATTGTTTTTTATTGTTTCTGTAATAGAAACATTGTCATCAGTCTTGGAACCTCTTTAACCTCTTTGTGTTAGGTCTTATCACCTTTTTTATATTTTAACCTTCTTTGTGACGAGGACGGGCACCTTTTATTTTACATAGAAAACAATCCCCTGCTGAACCACTGGTGACTTACTTTTTTAAACGATGTGATTCTGTAGTCAGAATCCTTTTTTCAGGCCAGCATGGCTTACGTGCACACCCATGTTTATAACATGACGGCTGAAAATTGAAGAAGAAAAAAATGTAAAATGTTTGGAATTGTCTAGAAAAGAAAGGTGGACGTAAAGGGAAATGACAACCCATGTCATTACTTTAGCCTAAAATATGTCAGCTTTATACCTCACAGCCTAGCACCTTTGCCCTCAAGTTTGCAGCTACTTTTATAAATATTTAGTAAAAAGGGGGAAAAGCATATTATCACCGAACTATGGCCCATGCAATCCGCTACCTCTAACCAGTGGCGCCAGAACCTAGAGGCCGAGGTACTTTGAGCCCTGCATGCAAAATGTAGGGACTTGTGGCTTCCTCCTCCGCGTATAAATTGGTAAGGGGTCTTGAGCGGCTCCGTTACCATGTATAGAAGTTCTCTTTGAATTATTTATTTATATGTTTAATATTATTTCAGTCATATATTTATATAGCCTCTTAAAAGTTAAATAAATCCTATCTTTGATATACGGATGTAAATCATGGACAGTTAGTAAATTAATGAAAACTTACTTGAAAGCTGTAGAGATGTGGTTTGATAGACGAATAATGAGAATACGCTGGACAGATAAAGAGTAATGAAGACGTCTTAAAATAAACTGACTCATGAAGAGAGCTGATTGTCCACATCAGAAAGAGACAATCTACATTCTTCGGTAATGTAATGAAAAGGAGAAAACTGGTGTACATCGTGACAGTAGGAAAGCTGGAGGGGCGGAGAGACAGAAAGAGAGAGAGAGAGAGAGAGAGAGAGAGAGAGAGAGAGAACAGATCATGGACAGTTTGACATCATGGCATAGAAGATCATTTGTGTCAGAGTTGATTGAAAGTACACGAGACAGAAGGTTGGGGAGAGACACGTCTAGCAACGCCACAAAGCATGGACTTTAAGAAGAAGATTTACAGTATTATAACGTATTGATTTTAAGTTAATACTGTTGTCATTATACATTTAAATCAAGCTTACTTGGGCCCCATGAGGTCACCTAAATATATTTGAAGGGGACAGAGCCCAAATCTCTACCCGCTTAAGCACCACAACGTTTTCTTTGTGTAGGCTTCCTTGCCTCTAACCCTCTCCCAGAACCATATCTACCACAATGTTCTAGTGTCGTTGCTGCTACTGCTCTTGTCTACTTTTCCTTATTCTTTCCAAAGGCTCATAATCCGTCAAATAACTCGCATAATCCTTTTGTAGAGTTAAACAAGATTAATCGTATCTAGCAGCTGCAGGTTTATAAGGATAAGATAGCCAGTCCAACACCGAAATTCTTACAGCATGCATGGTGTTTGTGGCTCTATTTTTTACATCCCTTATGGGCACCGCACAAGCGAGTCAGTTTAACTAATGCAGTGCCAAGCAACGTAACCTTCAGTACCTGTGCTCCACATGGTCATTAACAAGTTAGCTACTTAACTTTTACAGGACACTGTAGAGCCAACCCCACGATATTTTGGCTGCTGTGGTTTTTCTAGGCAAATTTAGGTCCAGTAGCTTGCCGTTGATTACTGGACGGTCAGCATCTCGACACTAATGTCGAAACCGGCGCAAGGCCAGCAGCTGGGATTGAACAGACGCCGACATATGGTTATTACACGAACCAGTTGTATCCCCCACGTCATCAGCTCCCTTTCTTCTAAGGTGTTATTGTTTTAACACCTCCTGGTTCTTCGTTTCGTTCCCCCCTCCCTCCTGCAGGCTGCTTCTGTTGCTGCCTGGAGGTTGCACACCAGGAGATATTAAAATCTCACTTTTGATGGCCGACCAACAGGAAAATGCTAAAGACTCCAGTTTAACTTTCATAAAAGTTATAATTAAGACATGTGCAAAGACTTGGTGTCATCTGCAGCCTTAGATGCGTTTAAAAAAAAAATCCATTACTATCTGTATTGACCGCGTTTTGAAAAAACAGGAGCAGGGTAGGGGTATTTGAGCTGAGGATTTAGGGTCTCTTGGCTAGTGCTGTCGCCAAAATTGTACAGGTTACGACTGTATTATTTCCCCGACAGAAACAAAATTGCACACATTTACCGAGAATTGGAAGCTGAGTCTTCAGCGTGAGAGCCTAGTGTTTTAACCGTTCGGCCATTCGCTTCACTTGTTGGAGTAACAACTTCTTAGGACAGAAGAAGAAAGGATAACATCTGTATTTATATATAATTTTCCAATGTGTTTAAAAAAAGCCACGCGTAGTATATCTGTAGATGGTGTTGATAACTTCGACCGAAATTATCAAGTAGTCAAGGCTGTAACGAAATACCTGCCAGTAAGAAGTTTACGATAGAGGATGACACAGCTAATAGTTCACGATAGAGGATGACACAGCTGATAGTTCACGATAGAGGATGACACAGCTGATAGTTCACGATAGAGAATGACACAGCTGATAGTTCACGATAGAGAATGACACAGCTGATAGTTCACGATAGAGGATGACACAGCTGATAGTTCACGATAGAGGATGACACAGCTGATAGTTCACGATAGAGGATGTCACAGCTGATAGTTCACGATAGAGGATGACACAGCTGATAGTTCACGACAAAGAATGTCACAGCTGAAGACGGGCAAATTTTTATAATTTGAAAAAAAAAAAACCAAACACATATTCACACATATACACAGACACATACAGCACGTAGTGCTGACCTCGCCCGACTTATGTTTTATCAATCCTGTGTTTTGGTCACGTTAAAAAACGTGTGTGTCTGCATGACTAAGTTGTGTATCTATCTACATGTTTCACTACCACAGAAGAAGGATGTTTTCTTTTTAGCTGTAACAGTTGCAGTGAAAGTTAGGTAGTTTTATTGCATATAAGGTAACAATAAAGTCAGCCGTTTAGTTAACTGTGGCAAACTAAAACAAGGACAAGTAAAAGATTCACAAACAAGGTGATTCTCTTTATAGGGATATAGGTACGGAGATCTTCAGCAACGTTTTCTGTCAACAGAATGGATAATCACATGTATTTTACATGTTGGCTACTGTATATTTCTGCAGGTAATATATTTTGTCCTGTTCTATACATTATTGTGTATTTCTTTTATTCTGCGAAATTGTTTGTTTGCTGCTATACATTCTTTACGTTTGCAGAAATGTTGCTTTTAAATTTGTCTCTCACTCTTTTTACAGGTCATATTTATTTATCACGGTTTGTATTGAAAATGCATTTCATTTTCTCCGGGTTAAGCAAGTGCGAATGCTTCTAACTTTATACATACTATTATACTTCCCTATATTTCGATTTTTTTTTTTTTTTTCAGTTAGAAAATTTAACTAGCGCAAGTAAATTCGTTCAAACCTAATAGGAAAATCAGACTGTCGTTGTGTCTGTATGCATGTGTGTGTGTGTGTGAACGCGTGCATGTGTCCCGGAAGGGGGAGGGGGTAGTGAGGGGAGCATTATTTCTTTTTATATTCATTCACGTTTTGGGAGAAGGGTTGGAGGGGAGACGGGGATTAGAGTATTAAAAGGGATGAAAAAAGGGGACGGGAAGGGGGAGAGGGTGTGTGTGTAACTTGGAGAAGATGAAAACATTTATGACAAAGGAATCACACTCACATAATGTGACATCAACAAGACAAAGCTTTACTAAGCATTTGTCTGGTTTCATTTTATTGTTTTCTTGTCGTTAATTTGTTTAATGTTTTTGTGATGTAGGGGTGAGTTCTTTGGAGGCAACGTTTGCTTGCGAAACGTAACGGGCAGTTGCTTTAAGCAGAGGGGGCTACGGTGCGGGGAGTCTTACACGCCAAAACCACAAGCCAAGAAAACAATAGGCGCCACACGACCCAGCAGGCCATCAACCTGCTAGTCTGGGTTAACTGAGATTAAGTCCCCAGTGTCCCGAAGCAGGGCCAGATTTAAACTTCATGAGGCCCTAAGCTATATAAAGTTGTGAGGCCCCTACCGTTTTAAACTACACAATTTAATTTAAAATTAAAAATATAAAGGTCTTTTAAATATATGGACAATAGAAATTTAAGTAAAAAAAAGTAAAGGACCCTTTTCCACGCCTTTTTTAGCATATAGGGCATTTGGGCTAGACTTATATTTTATAGACCAATCGGCACAAGATGGGTGATGTGATCAGCATAACGCCGGCCGCTTTTGCTTCCCGGGACTGCACCCGATACCCACTCAAGGCTGGGTCGACCTGGGAAATAGAAATATACTGCTGTTTAATTTTAATTTCAAGAATTAATAATGAACGTGTTTCTAAAAATTACAGAAATTATTTTACATGATCATTTAAGAGGCTGGGAGTCGCCGTGACGTTGGCGGCTAGACACTGGCCTGCGGATAGGAAGGTCGTGGGTTCGCGCCCTGACAGAGCTAGACTTTTTTCAAAAATGAGTTTGACTCCTAGGTCGACCCAGCCATGAGTGGGTGCCAGGTGCAGTCCTGGAAGTAAAGGCGACCGGTCGAGCCCTATATTCCCAATACGCCTAAAGGCGTGGAAAAGGGACCTATACTTTTACTTGACTTATCTAAGAGGCTGCTACAGCCGAAAACTTTTTTTTCACTTTATTTCTCAACTGCTAAATCATTGATGGGGGCTGCGTGGTCTCGAGGCATGGCATCCACCTTGGATGTTGAAGGTCCCGGGTTCAGGCCTGGTGAAGGTTGGGATTTTTTCACATAGACTTCTAGTAATTTCCCTTGCTCTCTGGGTAGTAAGATCGGACGCCCGTGTGTAATGTTGCGCACGTTAAAAAAATTGCTGCTGGAAATCGAAAAGAGCCGCCTAACTGCGTTGCCCGGGCAACATTTGGTATTTCACATATGTTTTTATAGATATCTTATTTCAAACAAATAATTATCTTATTTGGCATCCTGCGCCTTACTATTAATATTATTTTGTTCAAACAAAGATTAAACCGCTTGAGTCCCCAACACTAGCTCCTTCTATATCCCCCCCCCCTTCCTGCGCCCCTGCATAGCTGTCATTTATGATCATACTTGCTTGCATGCTTGCAGTTTTTGCCCTTCCGGGATTGCATAACGAAGGATTATCACCTCAAGTATGATAATCCTGCTTGCACCAACCCCAGTGAACCCCGTTCAACCGTACAGTTATATTAAGACCCCTGGCGGTTACGAAATAACCTGAAGTTCAGACCAGTTAGGGATATAATCTTATGTCCTTCTTCGTCTCTTATTCCTTGGTATCGACACAAGAGATCGCTGCTGTCGAACTCATGTCACTCGTCCCCATGTGGGATACATTTTTTCGTTTTTTGAAGCCCTACACTGGCTTTTGTCGGGGACCCTAAATATAGCCGGGCCATAAATATGGCCTAAACTTTATGTCACCGGGTGTTTATCGCTTGTGACAGGAAAGACACTATCACACACACACACGGAGATGCAAGCAAAAGCTTCGACCACAATCTTTGGAAAAACGAACAAAATACCACGAAAAACTCGCTACATGGTTCAGTTTGACGAATACCGTAACAATGCTCTAATCTTGGTAAACATAGATAACCAAAAACTTTTTAAAGATTGTATCTATCCTTTCTCCACAGATCCACTACCTTCTTTTCCAGTGGTCTACATCCTTTTTTTAATGTCACTCTCGTTTGAGCAGAAGCAAGACACCCCCTCCTCCCCCGGAGTAGACTGCTAGACCCTCATATCCCCCCCCCTCCTCCCCCACCCGATCAGTATATATGGCAAGGCTTCCCAACCACCCCACAAAACATAATGGTTTTTTTTTTTTAAGGACAATAGATTCCTCAACAACAACAAAACAGAAAGTGTGGAGATACGTTGTGGCCAGAATGCGTTCTTATTCTACAATTAAATACATGTATCATCTTATTATTAGATTGTTAACGGCAGATGTTAAAACTGCTAAAGAAAATAAAAATGCCCTTTTTTAGAGTTTACCCAAAGTATTTCAGGATCCTCGCCGGTGCAACGGAGTTCGTGCACTGCGCTGAGATTCTTTTGGCTCAAACTTGAGTTAGAAGTACAACGGAGCACTTATGGGTTACACCCGTGTGCCATGATGTTGATCCGTTGAAAAAAACATAAACATGAATCCTCCCGTCCCACCCCAAACTCCCCTCCCATTCCCAGTCTCAACCCCCCTCCCCATCCCCCCCCCCCCCCCCCAGAAAAAAGTACGGTAATATATTTAAGATTATATTACATCCTGACTGGAGAGTCACTGGCGTCCTTTCATGTTTACTTTAATAACACCATCTCTTTTCCACTGCTTTAGGTTCGCTAGTTTCCTCTGATGTTAACAACACCACCAATGATGTTAACATGACAGAGCTAAATACTACATCAACCACGACATTAACGACTGCCACCACTACAACTGTCGCTACTACCACTACCACGAACTACGTCATCACCGCCGTCAAAGAAGAGGAACACATGGTTCAAGTAACCGATGTGCTAGATTATATTAAAGAATATAACGCGGCAGCCGTGATTGTCGACTCCAAGGATGATGGTGTTATTCGGATTGGCCTAACCAAGCCACAGCTGAATGTTAACACGGCGTGGCTTACCGTCAACTCTACACTTGGTTATGAAGTAGAACTGTGGGCACAAACGGACGAATGCTATAAGGTAAATGTTCCTGTTCATCATTTGTCTTTTAACTCTGGTGTTAGATCATCAACTAACGCACCCTAAACAATTTGAAGACTTGTTTATGATCGACATAGAATCTGTTCTGCTGGTCCATTTCCGTCTTTCCGGAAAACAGTATTCTAGTGTAGTATATCAAGCTGCTATTGGTACCACTTGTGCTGGAACTTTTCACCGACTGCTGAAAATGAGGACGGCGTGCTCATCCTAATACCCATAGTGCCGTTATGTCGGTTTTTAACTCAAAACACAAAACTTAATGGATATGGCGAGAGTGACGAGCTAGACTTACTTGCTTTAAGAAAAGTCGTTCACACTTAAAGCATGGGACCACAGCATAATGTCTGGTCTAAATTGAAGAGACCATGCCCATACAGCATGATCCCTCTCTACGCTTGCTTTGATTACTCAAACGTAAAGGTAATATCTATACAAGTGGATGAAAGCATGCTGCCGAAGTTGCCTGTCTGTTGTCTACTTGTTTGAGCTTTACTCCTTATCAAGCTGTTAAACATCTTTCAAGCTGCATTTCCTCATCCTAGGATAAGGCTATTCTTCCCGTGGCGTTCCTCATCCCAAAGCTGTTGGTACAATGAGGGGTGAGAGATTTGTTATGAGCCACCAAACATTCGGTGTTAACAGAGAGCAGGTATTAACCGACGACTGTTTTTCGATTGCTTAGTCATTCTATACAGATACATTGGGCACTGGCTCTTCAGCTAGGCTGTGGAAGTGATGAGAGGCAATACGATCAGTTATTCATTATTTCATATGAGGGAAAAAAAATGAGCATAGAACCAATGATACGGCTACAAAGACAGCCAAAAAAGCAAGACTAGTATTTAACCAGATGACAAGGGGAACCATCAGAATGGAGACTCTTCACTGGCTGTTGAGGAGGAAGCTGATATGAGCTAGTCCTAAATGCAGTGGTGTCAACTCTTTACCCAGATGAACCCAGATAAAATGAAAAATGATTCAATGGGCCGTTTTGTGTGGAGAAATACCATGCTACAACCGTGGAAAATCTTTTTTAATAGGTTTTACCAGTGACACTCACTATCGCTTGGTGTATGATTCCCATGCCTCCCCCTTGGCACAATTTAACATTATTGTCTGGAAAGACGAAGAAAAGTTGTCAGTTTCACAGTGGCATAGAGGTATATCATTATCGAAAGTGTTTCAAATCATCAAGGTCTGTGTAAAGACAGGAAAATATGAGCCACTTTTCTAACAATTATATTACATATAGTGACAGCTCGGTTCTCGGAATGGAGAATGGCAGTGTCCCTAAGGACATCCTCTATGGTGAACTAATGAGGGTTGAAGATATCGAAGCCGACCTCTACAACGATATAAAGATATGTGCAAGCGGGACATGAATGATACAGGTATTGAGGTAGACTTGAGGGCACAATGCCACGGACTGTGTTGTGTGGAGGGGGCACATCAGGAAGGAAATGAGAATGAAGGAAGAAATGACTGCAGAAAGTATGAGAGATGAGCCTCTGAGAAAAAACAGACTGAATTAAATGACAGCAACGGTCTTGAAATTCCATGCTCTAATTCTGGAAGACTTTTAACGCGGGCGGGTCTTGCTAGTCACACTCGCCATCGCTATCGACAATGAGTCCCATGCCTCCTAATAGCGCTATTACCACTATCGTCTGGAAAGATGGAAAGGTGCCAGTCAATCACTCACACACGCACACACACACAGGGGGAGAGGGAAAGAGAGAGAGAGAGAGAGAGAGAGAGAGAGAGAGAGAGAGAGAGAGAGAGAGAGAGAGAGAGGGAGAGAACGAACTACCAGACGAACTTTAGACTCAAAGGTTCACAGATTGGGCACACAGGCCCGGCTTACATTCGGCTCTTTCAAGCACACATCTTTCACACAACAGTTAATTTTTTCCCCCATGATATTCATAATATGCATATTATTATTTGAACATAAAATGCTTTACTGATAAAATTCAATGGAAGAGAGAGAGAGAGACACACACACAGAGAAAAAGAGAGAAAGAGAGATAAGGCAGTTGATATATTTCTTTGACAAATTTCTCATTATGAAGAACGCAGCTTATTCAATATCGAAATCTTTATTACAATATCATTTTTTTTTATTTCTTTTATCAAGTGCAACCTAATGTTAATCACAAAAATTGGCAGTCACGGAGTTCAGAGTTTACTAGCAAACGCTACCCACCAAACAGATCTCAGGTTAATCCGCGCTAACTCTACTGCCGATTTTGAATGTAGGTATGTATGTATTTATAACAGTATTTATAAAGTATGCTTTGTTATTATGTAGCAAATCTTAGCAGAGCGTCGTTATCAATAATAATAAAAAAAAAAAAAAACTCCACTCGGGAGCATGTACAACAGGAGTCTACAAATCATCAGTAAAAGATCCCTTGTCAACTATTGTTTTGGCCCATCAACTCCTAGACAACTTCAGAGGGTAGACCAACCTGGGTAATGACTCCCAGGTCTTGATCTTCTTCTGCTGCACTTTACCGGATGTTCTCAGACAGGGACAAGACGAAAATGGTGACTATGCAACAGGTACTGTGAGATTTGAAGTTAGATATATTTTTAGTCGCTGCGGCAGCCTATTTGATCAGTCGGCATACTTTAACTACCAAGTGGCAAGCTTACGGTTGGTTCATCGGACATATGTTAGACTTTGCAATTTGCAGATCAATGTAGACTGTTAAAAAGATGCAATCCTTCGCTAGTTACCTTGTCTTCTTCTTCGTTTAGTCCCTGCTGTGTGGTTTTTAAATCTCTCCACATCCGTATACCTCTGGCACTTTCATTCATTTCTGACAGAGATGATCCGCCTTGCCATGATGTCAAACTGTCCTGTGTCTTCTCTCTTGGTTGTCTTCTCTTTCTCGTCTGCTACAACTTTCACGATTCTAGTTATCCCCTTTTGCGACGTACCCAAGAATATAGTCTCCTTCGCTTTTGACTCGGTGTTGCTCATGGTGTCCGGAAAATAATGTACTGTTTTATACATTGGATCTTTGGCGCTGGGGTATAGGATAAAGATGGAGGAGTTGGTTGTCTTTTTTTTTTTTTTTTCAACGGGTCGGCGTCTGTGGCTTAGGCGTTGTGAACGCACTTCGGAATGCCGGGGTGCTGGGTTCGATACCAGCTGCGGACGATTTGTCTTGCGTTGGTTTCGACAGTGGTACTGAGAGCTGACCGTTTAGTGGGCAATGGTAAACTACTGAACGTAAAATTTGCCACAACAGCCACACACACACATACAAAAGATGTGATTGGTTCTGCAACGTCCTGTAAAGGATACGCAACTAACTTTTATTCAACGGATCAACATCATGGCACACAGTGTAACCCAAAAGTGCTCCTTTCAACTTCTAACTCAAGCCTGAGTCTGGAGAATCTCAACGCAGATTTTTAACTTCAAAATGTGCGCGGGCTGCGCCGTTAGGCTACTCTTTTTCGATTCCCAACTGCCAAGGGATTATTTTACGTTTGCCACAATACACACGGGCATCCGATCTTACTACCCAGAGTATACTAGAAGAATAGGTAAAAAAACTTGTTTTCTGGGGACAAGTCAAGTTGGCACAAATGGACCAGTCTGGTCTTCTAATGCAGGCAGACACAACCCACCAAGGACCGTTACACCTACACAAGAATATTTGAAAAAAAAAAAGCCTTCTATTTGTTGATTGTAAGTGGCTTTTTAAATCTAACACATACTGGATGTATTTTTAACCTCTTTCTTTTCTTTTTCTCCCCCTATCTTAACCTATCTTTTTTCTTTCAGACGCAGAACCTCGCACTGTCTCTCGTCTCTGTTGTACTTTCTCTCTCTCTCTCTCTCTCTCTCAGACGGCTGTTTATGCACCTCTTCAGGTTCTACTGCTCTCTTACCTTTAACTTGATTATTGAAATACTTTTTGGGTTTTGATGTGGTCATTGGCGATCGGGTCGACCATTGGCTGGCCTGTAGACAACTTCGTCGCCGGTCGGGATAGTATTTGGGTCTTTGTCTCCTTTGATCGCATCAACACAGTAAGAGTCCTTGGTGGCGTGCAGTGCTAAATCATTTTATGTGGCGCACATAACCTTGTTCTAATTATAAACTAAAGTCTCTCTCTCTCACCCCCCCCCCCCCCTCCCCCTTTTCCCTTTCTCTCCTTCCCTTTCGGGGATGCTGGTTGAATGTGACGATTTTTTCCATCTCCAGCAAAGCATTTGATGTACTTCACTTGTCTATTTTGTTCTTAAATTTCTTCTTACAGTGGTCTTTTCATCCCTAACCTTTCCATAATATTTTTATATGATAGTTTTGTATATCAACATCTTCAGAGACTTAATTTAATTATCTAGTTGCTTATTCATTGTCCACTTTTCTGCACTATACAGCAGAGTTACATATACGTAACATTTAACAATCCTCATGTTTAATGCTGTTTTATCTCTACATGTCGATAATTTTCTTTATTATTATTTTTATTTATTTATTTAAATATTTCTGACCGTACCTTTTTTTTAAATGTCTGTTTCACTTCTACCATTAAAAATACTTTGGAATTCTGTAAACAATCGAACACCTTCTTCTTTGCACTCTCCGGCTGTAAACTCAGACAGAAAGTTCTAGTTGTTCTTCTATCTCTGGATATAAGTCTTTTTCACAGATCTGACTTACTTGTATGCAGAATGTTAGTTCTCAGGCAGATGCACTCCAGCTTCAAAGGAGGCTCCCAGTTAATCGACTCTTACGACATTCATGTTGCAGAGGCAGTGAGTCTATTCTTGAAAACCCCCCCCCCCACCCCACCCATAATGGGGCCCTGGAACCCACACGGGAACAATTGTACATGTACAAACTTGATAAGGCAAACTATTCAGAAGTTGCACAGTTTATTGTATGGTACATTTAACTGTATTTTCAAGTACATACTACAGATATTTGTGTGTGTGTGTTATTCTCTTCTTCTGCTTAAAGAAACAAAGAAGGGTCCTAATAAATGGTGCAATCTTCTGTTTGTTCAAAGACTAACTAACTGTGACTAAAAAACTCAAATACCAAGACAGCCGAGCATATAAATAATCAAGGTCACCAGGTCTGGTTTCGTGTTTAACTTGCATGTTGATACACTCTGTTGTCTTGTCCGTGGAGCTTCCTTGTCACAATTTCTACTGGATTTAGTACTACGTTGATACATACTTTGGTTCGAAACGGTTGATTGTGTTTATGTGTGTCTTTCCTTTCCTTCTGATGGGTTTTCTAGTAACAGTTTGTGTTGTATTAAGTACTTTGGGTACATAAGGGCGTTTAATACTTGCACATGTAATACTTGTTCCAGATTGTGCCCTATGTTCATTTTGCAATTAGAATGTCTTCTTCTTCTTACCACTCGCCGGCTGTTATTCGCCAACTTCTAGTTTCCGTCTATACCGACTGCTAGTTTCTAGCCTTTCAAGCAGATGTACCCGGACTTCATTAGAAAAACTGCTAATTAGTGGCATTTTACAACATGCTTGTTAAGGGGCAGTGCCCACTCACCACCACCACTACTTCGTTGCCCACAATATCCTAAGGTTCAAGATGACATTTCGAGAGGGAGGCGACTATTGGATATTCCTTGACCATCCAGCTGAAGCCCAGGAACCGTCATGCAAGCTGATTCTGGCCAATGATCCAAAAATTGCTGAACTGCGTAAGTTATTAGTGTTATGTAACTTACTACTTTTGTCATCATCGCCACCACCACCACTGCTAGTACTGCTGCTCTGGTACCCTTTATTCTTCTTCTTTTTCTTCTTTTTCTTCTTCTCTTCTTTTTCTTCTTCTTCTTCTTCTTCTTCTTCTTCTTCTTCTTCTTCTTCTTCTTCTTCTTCTTCTTCTTCTTCTTCTTCTTCTTCTTCTTCTTCTTCTTCTTCTTCTTCTTCTTCTTCTTCTTCTTCTTCTTCTTCTTCTTTTTTCTTCTTCTTTTTTCTTCTTTTTTTACTTCTTCTGATTCTTTCTTCTTTTTTCCTTTTCTACCTTTTTTCTTTTTCTTCTTCTTCTTCTTCTTCTTCTTCTTCTTCTTCTTCTTTTTCTTCTTCTTCTTCTTCTTCTTCTTCTTCTTCTTCTTCTTCTTCTTTTTCTTCTTTTTCTTCTTATCCTCCTCCTTCCCCCTCTCACTTCTTCCGCTTTCCTACCTTTTCCTCCTCCTCTTGTTTATCTTCTTCTTCTTCTTCTTCTTCTTCTTCTTCTTCTTCTTCTTCTTCTTCTTCTTCTTCTTCTTCTTCTTCTTCTTCTTCTTCTTCTTCTTCTTCTTCTTCTTCTTCTTCTCTTTCTCTTCTTTCTTCTTCTTCTTCTTCTTCTTTTTCTTCTTTTTCTTCTTCTTCTTCTTCTTCTTCTTCCTCCTCCTTCTCCCTCTCTCTTCTTCCGCTTTCCTACCTTTTCCTCCTCCATGTGTATGGTGTGTGTGTGTGTGTGCGCGCGCGTATATATGTTTGTTGAGGGGAAAGTGGGTGGGGACGGGAAGGGGTACATTAGCAGAGTAGTTAGTGAACGGATGAACGAGAGACAAGGGAACCAACCTACCGCATTATCTTCACATTATGCTGCTTTGACGAAAAAGGCGTTTTGCATGTCCTTGCTGATTATTAGTTATCTTTGCTGACCTTCTTCGCTGCTTGAAATAATAGTGAACATGCAAAACATGTCCCGGTCAAGATTTACATATTTGTAAACCTTCAAAGGGCATCCTGGCCACTAGCTATTTGTTTAGCAAAGACAGCTATTACTTGCCAACGAGCCAAGCAAACACAAGGTGGTTATTTCAGGACATTTTCCTCTTTGGAAACCACACAACTCAAAAAGTCACCGGTGTCTGAACTGAACTGCGGCGTACCAGGAAGTGAGTTGGCGGACAGACTTGGAAAGACCGGAGAAAACAGAAACAAAACACAAGACCCTAATACATTGTCCTTATCAGAAATAGAATCACTTATCCATGGAAAATATGCTGAATTTGCAGAGAGAGAAAAAAAAAAAAAAAAAAAAACATCGAAAAGACCCCATCAACAGACCTAACAGAAAACAATATACGACAATTTTCCGTCTCACAGCAAACCACTGTCGGCTCAACTACCATATGCTTTAAAACAAAACACACACAAAATGACTACAGTCCCCACAGTGTACATGTCAGATGTAACTACAAACACATGAGCACATTCTGCAGGCCTGTCCACTCTACTTACAACTACGAAAAGAAACATGGCCTCAAGAGCAAAGTACGCAGAGTAAATTTTCAGGAACAGCCCATTCGACGATCTGACTTGAGCATACGAAACTGAACGCAAAGAAGAAGAAGAATAAAAACATACTTTAACACCTGTCTTACTTGTCTATGTTTCCATTGCATGGCCATTACAGCAGTGCTAGCAACCGTGTCAGCGCAATGAGGAGTGGCCGATCCAGCGATTAGGAATTATAGGCTCTAGTTCGAGAGACCCAAGTTCGAATGCTCTGAAAGGCGATGAATGTTTTCGGTCTAGTTAGTCGTGGGTCGTGGCTAGCACTGTAATCCAGCTAATTGGAGGCTTGAGCTGAAGGACGGTTTGGGGAAAGGGGTCTGCTTTCTGGTGTGTTATCAGCCAACAACAGCTATTACTAACACTAGCTCATTTATTTATCTTCAGAATAATAATTCATTCAATAACACATGTTGCAATGTAATTAAACTGTAGTTCAGTTTATGAATAAATCTACTAAATCACTATTGTTACAACCGACCGGCCACGCCAGTCTCACAAAAACGGGAATTCCCGTTTGAGCTGTACGGCCTTATATCTGGAGCTTACCGTGACCACCAGTTCTACTACTAAGACTACCACCACTGGTTACTGAGGTAGCTTTTCGAGTCTTTACCCGTACCGGACTTCGTGTTGCACCTGGCTTGTATAGCTATTACTGGTGCCCTAATGATAACTTTGAAGATTTAACGGAAAATTTAGGAAATGCGTTTGTTGGTCTGCCGTCCAGTCTGAAAAGTTTTAATCTCAGGATGGTGTGGTACATCTACAGGTGGAAGCCCGGAGGGGACAAACGGGTCGACCCCATTGATCTGTCTGAGGTACACAGAAAAGTCATTCCGCACTAGCCATGCGGCCCTAATTACTAATACTGAAAACTTCCACTGTCCTACATCACCCTAAAAAGTGGTACTTCTTTCTTCTTCTTCTTTTTCCTCGATACTTCTGTCAGAAAACTTACATCAGGAGGCCGGTAGCCTTTATGAAAGCTATCGTGCAATCCATATCTTCTCGTGTACCATACAGTTTTGTCTTCATTGTGGTTGGAACAGGCCAGATTGCGATTATTTCCTACACCGAACAATTTGAACATATGTTGACGAAATCTGTTGTGCCCAGTCCTTAGTCTAAATATAATATACTGTCCCTCTCTAGAGAGGCGAGGAAGCGAGTCTTGGGGAGAAAATCTAGTGTGGGTATCCAGCCACCTTTCTTGGATACTAGATTGTATTAATGTTTTCGTCTCTTGGTGGGTTAAGTCGCTGTTTGGTTGTACCATATCACTACCGCTTCTGGCCAATCTGTCTGCTATTTCATTGCCTTCCAAACCACAGTCACCTGGAATCCATTGCAGTACAGATTGTTCTACTGAAGAGCCTAAGTGAATCAGCTGTTGCGTCAAGTCTACAAACTGAGTGTCTTTTGGGTTAACAATTGCTTGTAGAACTGACATAGCATCAGTCAGAAAGACCACTCTGCTATATTTGCAGTGCTGTTGTCCATTCCGGAAAGAACATGCCGCCAGAAGTGCTTCTGCCTCTGCTCTGTAATTGGAGGAATATGAACCTGTTGGTACAGCCTGGTTGATTTTTAAACTATTTGGGCATTCTATGTATATTCCTCCTCCTCCGTGGTACAAATAGGCAGCAAAGACACCCTCTAAAGACACACTGTAAAGATATAAACAAGAAAAAGACACACTGAGTCTGTAAATACACAGTGGTTTTCTGAAGAAGACAAAAACAGCAAGAGCAGTGTCTAGCATTATTACCTGCGAGTCGGGGATCATGTGTTCAAATCCCATTTAAAGCGGGGATTTCTATTAGTGGCATATATTTATTAGAATCCCAGGGCTAAGACTGACATGGACATTTCCTGCAAAATAAAGGCTACCGAAGTAACGAAAGTGACTAGGCCCTTGCCTGCAGCCGATGACCTTAGCTTCTGATCCGTAAGGGGCGAATATTTTATAAGTGACATTAGCATGCCGACTAAGCCTAAAATGAGTTAATTTGAAGTGAAGGTGACTATCACATTTCCTGTACCCAATTTCAACTGGGTCGAGTTGGCAGTCAAGGTACATTTTAACAAGTAATTCAGCCTCTATGAGGATTTGACCCCATACCCTCGGACCAACAGGCGAGCGTCTACTCACTGCGCTAGCGCGGCTCTCTAATCGTAATGTAATAACTATGTTAAGGATTCATTTTCACACCAAGAAGTATTCATTTTATAAAAGTAAAAAGTAAAGATCCCTTGTCACGCCTTTAGGTGCATCAGGCATATGGCAAGAGCACCCATATTTTCACAGACCAATCGGCACAAGGTGAGTAATGTGGTAAGCGTTACGCCGGCCGTCTTTACTTCTACAGGACGTACATCCTGATACCCATTTCAGCCTGGGTCGACCTGCGGTGCCCTATACCATGATTCATTTTATGGTCCTGTATTTTTTATAGCTGTCCCCATACTTGATTTGCTTTACTGCATTGAATACTAATTTTCTCCATCCAGTTTATTATCTTGGGTGAATTTTATTCCTAGTAATTGTAATTTAGATGCCTGTTTAATTTTGTTCATCATTCTCACTAAATGGGTAAGGTATTCTGTATTATACCCGTTAACATTTCTTTACAGAAAATTGTTATTGTTTTCAGTTTGTATGTTAAAATAATAAAATAATCTCTACATTCATTCTATCGTTCTTAAAGACAATTTTTATTTTGTTTTCAGCAATATTGTATGTCATTATTGGACTTATCGGGCTGGCCTTTGCCTATGCTGCAGGCAAGAAACTCTATGCGTAAGTATCTTTATTTGTACAGGAAAGTAATGATAATTATTGTCAGTTGAAACGAGGGGCACACTAGACCCAGTCTTAAATTGTTACCATGTAAAGGTCTAGGAAGTAAACAAGTTGACTGTATCACCCAACGAGTGCTGATTGGTCTATCCAAACATGGGTCTAATACCGTATGCCTGATGAGCCAGTGGAGCAAGGGGAGTCTTTACTTTTACTTATTTCATTTGAAATAAGAGGCTGAGAGTCCCCACCTTAAGTGTTTCTGGGTTGTGGAGCCTCACGATGACAAAGTCCCCAGGTGCCAGCGCCCCTGACGTAAAATAAATCTTTTTAACATGTACAATTTAGCTATATGTAGCTCACACTGAGTCTGATTTATCTGTCATATTTCCCATTAAACCAACGCTAAACCGACAACTGCATGATCAGAGCATCGAGGAGGATAGCTCACAAAGAACATCCTAACCAGAAACTGAGGTATTTTGACAATGGTAAACGTCATGCTGGTCAGGAGATTGCGAGGATGGAGAGTTCCGTTTTCGGAAACGAGGCTGAGCAAACTTTTATGAAGGCAGATACAAGACATTGAAGATACACTAGCTATGAAAGCACACAAGGCTAGGGAATTGGCTAGATAAAGAAAGACTGTTGGGCGTTCCCAGACGAGAGCGACGTTTTATAAAGGACTTACTGATTGATGATGATGTTAAATGTTGTGTATTGTTTTATTTTAGTTACTTTAACTGATTGGTGTCACGTGTTTTGGACATATTTTCAGTTACATCAGACGGACGACCGTTCACAAGAGTGACAGTATGGAAGTGACTAGTACCAGCGATCAAGATGGAGGGGATGTTTTGGTAATGACAATCTCTTTGTCTATCAGTACCCTATTATTCGTAACGTTCATTTACAGAATCGTGTACAGGCCGCTCAAGGGTTAAGGAAAACTTTTAAAAAAAAAAAGTTTTTGTAGACTATGTTTTACGTAGTTTGAGGTGAGCAAATATACGTCCACGCCGGTCTGTCCAACACCTCCGACTTCAATTACGCCACATTCAGAAACTGCACTGGGAAAATGTGCGATCGAGCACCACTAAGCCCGGCTCTCTAGCGTAGTTGGCTAAACCGGATTGCGCGGTGACCGGGTGACGAACTCCTTGTTGTCCGGGTTCACTCATGGGGGTTGGCAGAAAAGCCACATTTTCTCCCAGATTTACAGTACCTGTCATGGAATCAAGGCCGAAGGGTTGCGATATCCATAATACCGAACCAAAGGGTTAACAACTCATGGTTTCTGGATATAGAAACAAACAAACAAACAAACAAACAAACGTCTGTTTAAACACCAGCAAGGAAATCAACGTTACAATTTTGAGGGCATACATCTTTCCTGTAGCAACATACGGAGTAAGTCATAGACTATCTTCCAGACTTTAAGAACGAAAATAGGTGCTTTTAAGTTGAAATGCTTTAGACAGTTTATCAGAATACCATGGACAATGAAGAAAATAAATACTGATATTCTATCAGATCTGAATATCAAAGAAGATTGGCTAATAAACAGCATCTTGTCTCGCAAGCTTAAATAATATGGCATTTCAAGCAGGACGGCGAACTGGAAAAAATAATGAGAGCACAAGACATGCTATCAGGGGGAGGGGCACAGGTTATAAACGACCTCTAGAATATAGAAGTACAAGAGGCGGGAGAGTTGGCGAGAAACCGAGTTTCTTTCAGGCAGACCGTGGGATGAGAGCCACATTTTGTAAAGGACCTAATACATGATCATGATGATGATGATGGCAAACGTACGCTCCAGATGGCATTGAAAGCAATGGCAGTCTGTGGTGTTCTCAGACAAGCTGAAATTCATAACGAGAAGACATGATGGCAGAATCGGCGTGTACAAACGTTAACATGAACGATAGGCTCGTAAACTGAAACGTTGAGATTTTCAACTGTGGTGGCGGCAGTATTATGGTTTGGTAAGGTATAACAGAGAATGTTATAACACATCTGGTACCATTTCGGGGAAACATCACTGCAAAGAGGTATTACGCGATGTCCAGACACCATATATTGTGACACTTTTCCAAACTCACGGACAAGACTTTACTTTTATGCACGACAATGCAGCCCTTAATTGAGAAAGAGTAACCACTGCATTTTTCTTACAGAACAACAATAAATGTTTTTTTTTCAAGGCCAGCAATTTCACTTGGCCTTAACCTTACTGAGCATACATGATTGGCTGTCATGTCTGAAACCTGCCTAATCCACCTCAAAGCCTTTTACTGGAAAATGAACTGCTTGGAATAGTCTTTCACAAGTTGCAGTAATAAACCTAACTTACTTAAAGAGGCGCCGCTGTATTTATGTGAATAACGTTATTCACTATTCGCTATTAAGCAGTGCGATTGTCATTCTGGGTACGCGCCTTCCTGCCCCACCCTTCCTCGCCCAATCCATATGAGTATCACAAAGAAAATTTCTTCAAAATGAATTCCATACTAAAACACTAGTTAATGCAGTTGGTCAAACAATGTAGTTGTAGATAGACATAAACTGCGCGAGTTGCTTAAAAAATGTGAAGTCCTTCATCTGATAACTTGTATTTTCTATATGTAATGGCATAAAATACTTTCAGGGTTAATTTTCTCATGTGATAGTTATGAAAATTATAGGTCTATTTGATTTAACGCACATCTGTTTTTTCCTATCTGAATATCGTGTTTTCTAGCGCATGAACAATGGCAGGACGGAGAGGGAAGACAATCCTGGGGAAACAAACAAAGGGGAACCTGAAAAGCCAAAGCAAAAACAACGCCTCAAATCACTGGATACATTTCGTGGGTAAGCCAGGCTTTGACTTTCATCATCTTGTTCTTTTGTTTCTTCTGAAGAAGAAGAAGGGAAAAGGGGGGGGGGGGGAGAAAGAGAGAACGAATTAAGAGCAGTATCATATACCTATTCGAGGCTGCGTTAGCGAAGTCAATCCAGCTGCGACTCGCTGCAGCCACGGTCGGTGTTCGAAACCGGGCGGTTCCCGGGGTTCACCCAGCCTCTAGGAAATGGGTACCAGAGCTAATACTCTGGGGTAAATGGAGGAACGCCGCTGTAGCTACAGAGTTACGTGTGGACGACGACACAGGCGGACAGTTTCTTATCAGATGTCCGTACTGGTGGCAGAGCACTTATGGTTTCTAACGGTGTGCAATGACGCTGGCTCACATCTCCCGACTTTACCTTTACATTTTTTTTTTATCTTTGTTTGTTTTTAAATCCAGAAACCATGAGTTGTTAACCCTTTGTCTCGGGGTATCGCAACCCTTTGGCCTTGATTCCATGATAGGTACCGTAAATCCGCGCTGTCCAGTTTAGCTAACTACGCTAGAGAGCTGGGCACTTTTTTAATACGTGTACATATCTTTCATAACTAAGTGTATAATTGATTAACGATTTCATAAATACTAATACTTTTTCTGATATAGCATAACCCTGATATTGATGATATTTGTCAACTATGGCGGTGGAGGATATTGGTTCTTCGAGCATGCTGCGTGGAATGGACTTAATGTTGCAGATCTTGTGTTCCCTTGGTAAGTAATGATTGTACGTGTTACTTAGCATACACAATGTAGAGCAATTATGTGTCACATAATTCTTTGCTCTGTTAACTTGCATCATTTAAAAACAGCTATTTCATAGCTAAAGTGCATTTAACGATAAACTATACAGAAATACTTGTCACTGTTACCTATTCCCAGTAGGCGCTGGGGAAAAATTGGGAGGGGGGAGAAGGGTATAGAGCTACTGCTTATTAACAAACATGTAAAAGACGAAAATGGGTTTACTGAAACCGAATATGTGGGGCCGCAAGGCGCAGATATCTCAGACTAGCTGCAAATAACACAGCGTGCTAACCGCCCATTAAAGAACAAACGCAGAGGAAGTCAGAGGGAGACATTTATTTATGATATATATATATAAATATGTCATACTACAGTTAAGGTCATATTCTGCCAAAGATAAACACATGATGTCCCTTGCAATTCTGTATGTCATCTCACTTTACAGCAAAGGGGTCACCCCACAGTTGCTCCCTTCCTGTGCCAAAGAAAGCCACATAGAAGGTTTATCATTTGCGAAAAACAAAGGCAGACTTCAGTCTCAGTAAATCCAAAAGACGCACTAAATACATAAGGCAGCAGTCAGGAGTGCCAACGCAAACAGTTAAACACTAGACACAAGGTTTTAACTCTTGGAGGATCCACCCGCCCCAGTTTCTTTTATGTTTATTTGCTCTCCAGTATAGCAGTAATTTATGATCATACTTGCTTGCTTGCAGTGTGTTCCCTCCAGGATTGCAGTCCACATGATTAACACCTGAAGGATGAGGTCGATGGAAGCAGCAGTTACAATAGATCAGCAGTTGCACACATAATTAATAGCATAATGCAACGCAATTTCTCTGTCAAAAGGCCACTCAAAATTTTCTGAATCTGCCGCTCACAACACAAACCACGTATAGCACAGTCAAAAAGCATTTCAAATTGAATCAACAGTTTACAGTGTCGTGCCATGTACTCAGCTCGGTAGCTGGGCGACGGAACTATACTCTTTCAGTCTACAAATTGAGAAAAATGCAACCGCTAACTACTGTCAGAAGACTTGCCACGACTAAAAACAGCAAACGTGCATATACGCTGTATTGCAGTGCTTCAATGTCTCTAAATCTAGGATTCGTCAGACAACAAGTTTTATATAAATGGCTTCTCTATTACAAATTTGAACAGGTTTGTCTTTATGATGGGAGTGTCCATGAACTTCTCATTCAGAAGCATGTTCCGCCAGGGCTGGAGTGTACCCAGGATCGTTTGGAAGATTGTCTGGAGGGCAGCTAAACTGTTTTTGATTGGGTTCATGCTGGGGACACACTTTAAAAGTAAGTGAATGAAATGAATTCGAGAGAGGGTTAAGAATCCTACTTTCCTTGTCATGCAGCGTTGAAAACCAAAGGTTCTGGTTGTTTGTCCACGTTTGGACTTTGATTTTGTTCCATGACTTACATGCACATCCGTTTTACTGATCTGGTATTAAACAGACTGTTGGTCTCTGAGGCATAGGCACGTCGATTTCCACGGAAACATCCCTAATTAGTCGCAATGCCTGGCTTGTGTGTGTGTGGGTAGAGGGGGGCGAATATGAAGTAGTTTTTTGTTTCCAGTGGGTTTATTCTTTCTTTTCCCGCCCAAAATGGGACTCCAGGATCCACACTGGGAACGGGTAAGTAAGAATAAAGAAATATGATAGGTGATTGGTCCACATGAAGATTAAACTAGATAATTATTTGAACAGAAAAATCGACCATCATGAGTGAAATTGTCTTTATCAAGGGATAATTATCTCAAATAATGGATACATGACCAATTTCTAATTGGATAGCAAGGTGTAACTGAGATGTGGACGTGTTATTAATTTTTGCTGCATTAGATCTTAGCTTTGCAATACTTTTAATTACAACGAAACTCTCATATTCGTTATGAATCCTTTCCTTGGGAAAAGACGAATATTAAAAACGATGAATGCCAAAGGAGTTTATCTCATAAAATTGTTTAATGCAAAATTGTTTAATTCGTTCCCAGATTCGCATTTAGCTTAATAAAAATCGGTCTCATAAATCAGTGCAAATCCATTTTATTTACATATTAATAACTAATTGTGACATATATTTACTTGTTCTTCCCCGTGTGGGTTCCGGGGCCCTATTATATGGAAAACAAGAATAGACCCACTGCCTGCCCAAAAGCAGACTAACTGGGAGCTTCCTTCGAAGTTGGAAAAGTCGGAATGCAACTGCCTGAGAGGCAAGGAACCAGCAGTCTGCATACAAATGAGTCAGATTTGTAAAACACACGAAACACTCAGGTTCTGAAACAGGACTGCAGTCTAGAAGTGGACAAACAACCAGAACTTTTCACAGGAGTTTACAGCTGGTGAACGCGAAGAAGTAGAAGATATACCGATGACTGAATGACTGACTTTCTACCCCACCAGGACATCACACAAGCGATTAACACCCGATGACACAATGTACCACCATGCGGATAAGGATCACCGTGGAGAGGTCCCAGAAACCGCGTTCAGCCTTTAGGCCATATTTATGGTTAGGCTATATTGCGGCCCCTGGCAAGAGCCAGAGTAGAGCTTCAAATAACGAAAAATTTCATCCTAAAAAGGACGAAAAGTATTATCGATATAATACCGATGACGTGAATACACTGTTTGTTAGTTGCTTATCCTTTACAGGACGTTGCAGAAACAACCCCAGCATTTTTTTGCTGTTGTGGTTTTTCTAGGCACATTTTACATTCAGATAAATTACCATCAAGACAAAAAAATCTAAAATAAGAATAGTAAAAACAGTAATATTAAAAAAAAAAAAATTAACAAGTATAACTTCATATGGGTCCACAGCTGCAGACATGGAAAAGGTTCGAGTTATGGGAGTTCTGCAAAGATTAGCCTTGACCTATCTTGTGTCTGCTTTGATTCACTACTGCTGCACGCGCAGGTCTGACTCGCATCAGGTGAGTGCTCTGGTGGCTGACCAGTAATTAACTTTACTATGTGCGTATGTCTGTGGCACAGCTGGCCTACATTTTGTTGTCTTTGTCGTTGTTCCTTCTTCTTCTTCTTCTTCTTCTTCTTCTTCTTCTTCTTCTTCTTCTTCTTCTTCTTCTTCTTCTTCTTCTTCTTCTTCTTCTTCTTCTTCTTCTTCTTCTTCTTCTTCTTCTTCTTCTTCTTCTTCTTCTTCTTCTTCTTCTTCTTCTTCATCTTCTTCTTCTTCTTTTTCTTCTTCTTCATCATCATCATCATCTTCTTCTTCTTCAACATCATCATCATCTTCTTCTTCTTTTTCTTCTTCTTCTTCTTCTTCTTCTTCTTCTTCTTCTTCTTCTTCTTCTTCTTCTTCTTCTTCTTCTTCTTCTTCTTCTTCTTCTTCTTCTTCTTCTTCTTCTTCTTCTTCTTCTTCTTCTTCTTCTTCTTCTTCTTCTTCTTCTTCTTCTTCTTCTTCTTCTTCTTCTTCTTCTTCTTCTTCTTCTTCTTCTTCTTCTTCTTCTTCTTCTTCTTCTTCTTCTTCTTCTTCTTCTTCTTCTTCTTCTTCTTCTTCTTCTTCTTCTTCTTCTTCTTCTTCTTCTTCTTCTTCTTCTTCTTCTTCTTCTTCTTCTTCTTCTTCTTCTTCTTCTTCTTCTTCTTCTTCTTCTTCTTCTTCTTCTTCTTCTTCTTCTTCTTCTTCTTCTTCTTCTTCTTCTTCTTCTTCTTCTTCTTCTTCTTCTTCTTCTTCTTCTGCCTATCTTCCTCCTTTGTCTTTTTTTCCCTTCTTCTTCTTATACCTGTCAACGTCCAATGAACCAAAGACCCTCTAGCAATTCAAGCAGAACCCTTTGTAGATGTTTTAATGTTTCGTTAAATTGTTCATGTTAGGCTATTATTAAGAAGACGTCTCCCCAGTGTCTGCAGATGTACATATTTGATGAATGAAACACCCTCGAAACATAAATTTTTGTTTTTCATCTGCATGAAGGTAGGTTGCTGTCACATACCGCTCCTGTCACGTGCCTGATTTAAGGATTTCTCCTTAAGAACCAACAGCACTCTGAAATAATAATGTTGAGTCGTTGGCTCGTATTGGTCTAAGGGATATCCTGTGGCCAATATACGCTCAACTTATTTCAGGAGTGGGGCAACTCAAGCTTTGGCACTACAAAATATATAATATTCCTAGGCACACTTGGCTGGACATCCCCACTACTATAAAAAGGTAGCCCCCAGGTTATGATAGTATACTATCATAGCCATGTTAACACAGATTACACTTATTACTCACACAAACATAAAAGCTAGACAGTTAGAATGGTGAAACAGGGACACCCAAGTCAGCCATGAAAATTGCTACATGTAATAAGTTCAAGATATATACAAATATATAAATGAATAGATAATCAAGAGTGTTCAGTGAATGGAGTTCAGGAAATAATGACACAACCCAGATGTTGAGGCAGTCAGGTGTAGTTCCTAGATATTACATGAGTTCATCCTTGGAATCAAAAGGGAGCTGTGGGAAGAGATCATGTATATGATTAAGAGATCACTTATCCCAAATGGTGGGTCACTGCTCCCCTCAGTCCATGGTGATTCGACTGTGGTTGACTCAATGGATAGCTATGCCTCGGTGTGATCTGGTACACGCTGACTGTCTTACATCTGAAGACACAGGAACTGCATAGGAGCCCAACAAAGCTCTTGAAGACTGATTTTCTGGATTGATGACATAGGTGTCTGCAATTGTCTACTAGTCCTGGAACTCACAAACAAGCTCCTGCCATGTTGAGGTAGTGGCAACAATAGGTAGGACTTTTGGGTATGCTTGATGCCCTAAATGGTATGGGTTGGTGGTTGTTGGCTGCACTGTGATTCGTCTACCTGATCTCTAAGGAGGTATCATCCTGTCAGGAAAGAACTCAGAATTAGTAATCGTCCTTATTCATACACCAGTTCACCCCACACTCTGCTACCCTTCTCCATTCCTCAGAGTGTAACTCTCAAGAACAGGAGACAATGTCTCCTTTCATTTATCTGTCTGTAAATTAGTACACCAGATAGAAGAAAAGGTATATAGTGGAGATGTATAAACACTACCACACATAGATCATCCTCTCTCCACCCTCACATCTGCACTCGCAGACATACAATGTATCCCGCTAGTACCTATATATATATTTCACGTCTCCACAGGCTGCTCACTACACACCCGATGTTTCCCTGCCAAACACACCTTTGACTCAGAGCGTCTAGCTCTGACGTCACAGCAGTTAGCTGTTAAAAGATGACCCAGATTCCATATTTCTGCTATGAGGCGCAAAACTTCGTTTGTCTGGTCAGAGAATAATTTTTTGTAGGGTTTAATATCTTTACGAATGGTGTGGGTTATGTAGAGCACAAACTATTTAGTCTGCACGGGGAAAGGTTTAATGTTCGGAGCCCGATCTCTGGACATCAAGAACGGCCCAACTCTGTGCGATCACACAGCTGAATCTTCTCTCTCTGCAGCAGTGGCCAACTTTAAAAAGACATATATTATGGTACTCGTAAACTATAATCAACTTACCCAAGCTTAGGAATTCTTCAACGATAAAACTGGTACTTTGAATGCGCCAGTTTTATTCATAGACTGTATACACGTCTTGACACTTTGGAGATCAGGCTGAAGAATGCCGCTTACAACTAAGCTTGGCGTCTCTATGAAAGAAGTCCCTGTATTCATGCCCAAGGAGTAAACAGGCTTACATGAATTTCTGAATTAAACACCAGAAATACTCAGCCCACAGTTGCAAGTTTGAAAATGTAGACTTCTCAAAACAACTAGAGGGTCTAGAAATGATTATTTTACCAGATAGAGGTATATATCAATATAAGAGACTATCTACCCCTCCCGACGGGTTTAAGTTTGAAATGTGACGTGCCCGCTGGGGAAGTCAGAGTCACGACTCGTCCATCGTGTAGGGTTAGCTGTTCACTCCACGTCAGTTGCTTCATGCTTTATTAAACTAATCGGCACTCAACTGATGATGCAGTCAATATTTCACCGGTTGTCTTTATTTACCACAGCATTTCCTAGGTCCATTAAGGGTTTCACCCAGACCAGTCTCTAGGTATATTCGAGCAGTAACACTTTTGTTTACGCCGTTTCAACAGCTTTAGGGCTAACCTGCTATTATTGTCGTAAATCCTTAAACCTACGCAAATAATATACAGATGGAATATCTCTAATTTTGTTTCGTATCTAATTAGTTGCAGGAGGAGAGGCCAGCGTCCGAATCTACCATGCACTGTGCTCGAAGATCTGGAACAGTGGCATTGGGCCTAAAGCGTGGAAAAGAACAGTCTATATGCCTCTCCCAAAGAAAGGAAATCCAAAACTTTGCTCCAACTAACGTACCATCGCATTAATAAGTCAGGCTAGCAAAATCCTCTTACGAATTATCATGAAAAGGATTGAAAAGAAATTACAATGTGAACTAGATGAAGCACAAGCGGGTTTCAAACAGGATAGAGGAACTAGGGATCACATATTTAATATGAGCATAATTTTTGAAAAATGCAGAGAATACAATGTAGATCTTCATGCATGTTTTATTGATTATAGCAAGGCATTTGATTGTGTCCAGCACCGCTAACTGTGGACTATTATGAGAAGTATGGGGTTTCCAGCGCATTTAGTGCATTTAATTGAAAATCTTTATCATGAACAACAAGCAGCCATCACAGCAGCTGGTGAAACATCTGATTGGTTCGAGGTGCAAAAGGGGGTGAGGCAGGGGTGCATTCTCTCACCATACCTATTCGATATATACTCAGAAAATATAATGAGAAATGTCAAAAATGACCAGACTTGTGACAGTTATGATCCGCTCAAAATTGGTGGCAACCCTATTCCGGAACTCCGCTACGCAGATGACACAGTCCTCCTTTCGAACAGCGTAAAGGGAATATAAAATTTAATATTGTCTGTCCAAAAGCACAGTGAAGTGATCTTCACATCTGTTCTTGAATTTAAAGAAAACGAAAATAATGTCAACAGATAAAACTGGCTGTCACCCAAAAATAACAATAAATGATGAAGAAATTGAAAATGTCACAAACTTTGAATATCTAGACTCTATAATTAACAACAATGGAGACTGTTCGACAGAAATTAAAAGGAGGATGGCCATACCAATGCAAAGATTGAACAGCCTTAAAGGTCTATGGTTAAGCACCAGCAAGGAGATCAAAATTATAATTTTTAGAGCATGCATCTTTCTTGTGGCTACATACGGATGTGAGTCGTGGACTATCTCTCAGTCCTTAAGAAAAGGAATAGGGGCTTTTGAGCTGAAATGCTTTAGAAAGATTCTCAGAATATCTTGGACAAAGAAGATGAGAAATATTGACATCTTAAAAGATCTGAACATCAAGGAAGATTGGCTAATAAACAGCATCCTTTCTCGAAAGCTGAAACATTTTGGTCATATCAAGCGCCACGACGGATTGGAAAAAATTATAGCAGAAGGCATGGTACCAGGAAGGAGGGGCAGAGGCCGACCGACACGAAAATGGGCACAGGATATAAGTGACTCTTGAGTGTGAAAGTTCATGAGGCGGGAGAACTGGCAAGAGACCGAGTTTCTTACAGGCAGACTGTGATGAGAGCGACGTTCTGCAAAGGACCTGCTACATGATGATGATGATCTAATTAGTTTGAAATATCAAAATGATATATTTCTAGGTTTGTTCTGTGTTGAATTAATTTTTTATTCAACTCTTTCAACAAAGTCATTCTGTAAATCTCAGGATACTAAATGGGCTATGGTTCGAGACTTGGTCTTGTATGTTCCCGAATGGTCGGTTAATCTGCTTCTGTTGGCCGTGCACTCAAGCTTGGTGTATGCTCTCCCAGTGCCGGGATGTCCCAGGTATAAGTAACCTTCTCATTGGCGTTTGTGTGTGTGTGTATGTGTGTGTGTGTGTGTGTGATTAATGTCCATTATGTTTTAACGTCGTTTTTAACTCTTCCAATACTGGTAGCTTTCAGAATACAAGCATATACGGGCTTTTAGAAACAACTGACGAAGCATGAGTAAAATGCATTTAAATAAGCATGTACAGTCACATGTTAAAATATCTAGCCATATTTCTCTTACGTACTCACACCAAATGAAGGGGGAAAAAACAAATTTTACACTCAGGAGTTCCGGGAACAGTATGGCAATTGGCGGTTGCCAAATCTGATTTAATATTTTCCTCATAATAATTATTATCATTAATCATTATCACCAACATCAGCTTAATTATCATGTCGACATTAGCGTAATCTATACATCTACTGCTGCAAACACAAGAAGTAGTCTTGCTGTCTCTATTTTCATTAGATGACCGAACCACCTTCCTATCTATCTTTCTACGTAATTAATACATATGTTAATCCTTCTCTTGTGTCATCATTTCTCACTCGGTATCTTCAGCTCTTCTTACACATTTGGTTAGATTTTACTCATACACACACACACATACACACCATATACGTTGAAAGTCCCTAAGGCATTTCCAGTTCTTAAGCTTCTGTTCTGTTTCTGTAATGAATGCCTTTCACAAACTCTTGTAAGAGAATAGATACAGTTGGACTAATAGTCTGATCTTCAGAGGAAATCGCTAGTTAGTTACGTATCCTTTACAGGAAGTTGCAGAACCAACACTAGTAATTGTTTACCAGACAGTTTTAAGTTTATTTGTTTTCCATTGCTTACTTAAAGGTCGGCTCTCAACATTGTTAAAATCAACGTAAGGCTACCAAATCGCCCACCGCTAAAATTGACCAGGTACTTTAGAATTATTAACCGCGTTCGCAACATCTAAACCACAGACTACGAGAGGTAAATACTATCTTAACTAAAATTGAAAAGCAAAATGTGGCCATCTCTAAGATGTGCCGTGCCGATAATAGGGGGCATATACAAGGATCACAAGCCATATTTTAGAAATCTGATCCCCTCATCCACCTTCATGCCGCTTGATCAAGCCATTTGAGTATTTTCTTATCTGTATCCCCCTTGTTCATTTCCCACCAAGTTTGTCAGTTGTAATTACGTTTTACTTTAGGCTACACATTCAATGTAAACGTAGCTGCATCTTTTACAAATATATCTTCAGTAAGTCAACATTTTCTAACACTGGCTGCTCTGGTTTGTTGACACAGAGGGTATACTGTCTCTTTTACAAATATAAGTAGTGTATCAGCGTGATACGGGCCGTATTTCAGAAATCGATCTCTCTTTATCCTTAGTAAAAGATGGCGGCCAAAAGTGATTGGTTCTTTCTGGCGGGTTTATATATCCTTAGTAAATATCGATCGGGGCACCCGCCCTCTTTGTCCTTAGTAAATATCGATCGGGCGGTTGGTGATGGTAAAAGTGATTGGTTTTAGGGAAAGGTATAGGAAATCGATACTTTGTAGATGCATTATTATCTTCATAACTGCAGGTGACAGGTGGCGTTATATAAAGGGTGAGGTCAGGAACACTATTTAGGTGAGCAGCGGGGGCAGGGGACCCGGGGCGACTAGGAAGGCGGCATGATGACCGGGAATGTATTAGAAAGGGCAGATTGGGCGCCGGCATCATCATCATCAGCTATGTCATGGTAGCGAAGGTCGACCGCTCAACCTATACAAGAGAACAGACATATGGTGCATAAATCGATATGTTGTCTCCATAGCAACTGGTTATTCATTTTCGGTATGTTGGGATGTGGGTATTTTTAGGCGGAGTGGTTTAAGGAAGACAAATATTTCTTTAGTGCAGGGCCAGATGTTGGTTAAAGTGGCGGATGACCGAGGATATATTAGAAAGGGCGACTCGAGCGCCATCATCATCATCTATGTCATGGTAGCGAAGGTCGACCGCTCAACCTATACAAGAGAACAGACATATGGTGCATAAATCAATATGTTGTCTCCATAGCAACTGGTTATTCATTGTCGGTATGTTGGGGTGTGGGTATTTTTAGGCAGAGTGGTTTAAGGAAGACAAATATTTCTTTAGTGCAGGGCCAGATGTTGGTTAAAGTGGCGGATGACCGGGGATATATTAGAAAGGGCGACTCGAGCACCATCATCATCATCTGTGTCATGGTATTGAAGGGATGGTTTGAGCTGTAGTAAAAAGGAGGACATACGACAGAAGGGTAGCTGTCTTGTCATAGTGTCGAGGGCAGAAGAGAAGGGGCTTACCTGACATCGGTGAGCAGCGGGGCGGGCGGGGCAAGGGACACGGGGCGACAGGGCGACTAAACCGGTTGGTGTTGGTTTATGGGTTCTGTAATAGACAAAAAATTAGAAGTGGGTTGTTAGCGGGAGATATATATGTTATAAAACGAAACAAGTTATGGGATATGAAAATAGACATAGGCAGCAGTGACAGCCGGCAGAGGGGGAGGGGGCGTTTTAGGGTTTAGGTAAAGAAACCTAGAAAGGTGGTTTGATGACCGGGGATATATACTAAAGGGCGACTTGAGCGCCATCATCATCATCTGTGTCAGGGGAGCGAAGGTCGACTGCGCAGAAATAAAAAAAGAAAACATACGACATTTGGCGTGTGTCTTATCATAGTGTTAGATATTGATATGTTAGGGACTTTTTTTTTTTACTCAACATAGGGCTCCTTTTAAGAAACACAAGACGACTTTTATCAAATACGAAAACCACACTGTGACAAAATTATCGCTATTTTTGCTAACATGTTTTTTTTTTTTTTCACTGTGCATATCAAAAGGGCGTCAATACAGTCACTTTTATTTATTTGAAGCATGCTCAATATACATAGCAGGTATTTTAAGTTATAAGATGCACTTGACACAAAATCAACAGCACAGCAAAATATAGGGATGCCATAAAAGAGACAATATTAGTAAACCAAACGGGTAAATATACAATGAAAGCACAGGGTAAAATGACTTTTGTGTCATAGCAGCGAATGCCAACCGATCATTGAGGTTTTGATTTTAGGTAAAGATGGGAATTTATGGCAAAATGACAACTTTTATGTCAACAATAATAAGGAATGCCGGCCGCGCAGAAATAGTTTAAGCTGTAGTAAAAAGGAAAACATACGACATTTGGCGTGTGTCTTATCATAGTGTTAGATATTGATAGGTTAGGGAGGGTTTAGTTGCAGTAAAAACGAAAGCGTTAACAGAAGGGCGACTTTTGTAACATATTATGGGAGGCCGGCCACTCATCCGTAGTTTAAATTGTAGTGGGAAAAATAACAAAAGGACGACAGGTGTGGCAAAGTGTCGGGTTCTGGCCGTACATATATGGTTGAGCTGTAGTTAAAAAAAAAAAAGGAGAACTGTTGTGTCATAGTGTTAGATATCACCGCTCATAAAGGGTTTACGTTGTAGGTCAGAGGCGGCGCTACCAGGCGACGAAGGTGGGCTGGGGCAATTTTAGGTGCCAAAAGGGCGCTATGTCTTTCTCGACAGACAGCGTAAACCACACACGAGACGTTACATGTCTTTCACTGGTCTTTACAAGGCAATAACTGAAGACGCCAGATAACTCGATCACTATCCTTGGGGCAAAGGGGAGCTGGGACAATTTTGGGTATAAAAAAAAAAAAAAGACGGATGCAGGGGCTGTGCCCCAACCAACGGTTGCTGCATCCGTCTCGAAATAGAGGCTAGTAGGTCGGACAGCCCGTTGACAACCGTTGATTAGCCAACCTTCAGAAGGGACAAATAGTTTGTAAGATAGCTTCTGTGACAGCTAGTTGATAAAACTTGTATGTGTACAGAACTCAAGGCGCCTCTTGGAGACGCTCGGAGGAAAAAGATAGTCGCCCCCTCTATTTTTCTAAATCGTCCCTTTCACTTTATGAAAATTCGCATAGTCATATATGGTACCACCCTGGAGGCGACTATAGGAAACAACTTCGATGGCCAGTTCGTCAGTGGGACGCTTTGTTTATTAGCCGGAGACGACAGCCTTCTTGAAGAACCCTCGAAAAGCTTTGTATGTTTACAGTAAGACAACCTTTCCTGTAGCACAACCTGGTAGACGATCCAGATAATAGGCTTGGACATCTAGCTTCAAGGGCGACTAGTTGGTTATCTGCGTTTTGTACAAATACAGTAGAAGGAAAAGACACTACTTCTAACCGTTGTCTCTTATTTTCTACACGTCACCCTCGGGTTTCTAAAAAGTATCCCTCTGGGTTTCTAAAGTCACCTTCTGGCTTCTAAAAAGCTGCCTTGTGTTTTCTGAAAGCCACTGTGTGTCCGAGTCGTCAGGGGCAGCTGGTGAAAGATGTGTGTCATATCTTGTGTGATTCAAGATGTATCAAAGGACCAAGACATCAAGTGTTTCCCCAACAGAAAATACATCTTAGCGACTCGCATAGTACCAATGTTAATTAATGACTTACCAAGAGAGGTTAGTGAACGAGTGACTAACGTTGTCCTACGACGCGCCGACACCGCCGAAGACGAGCAAATTAGGAGGAAGACAACTGCAAAGACGACGAGTCTCCTGTTTTCCTAAAGTCGCATCGTGTCCGAGGCAGCCGGGACAGTTAGTAAAAAACCTTGGGTTATGCAGTCGACGACGAAGATGACATTAGAGGCGACGATGACGCCGAAGACGACGACCCGCCGAAGTCAACAAGGAAGACGACAACGAGGACGCTGACAACGCCGGAAGCAACGAGGAAGACTTAAGTGACCTAAGATGTCTCGTCAAGAAAAATATCGGGTAGTTGCTGGGTCCCAGGGGCAGTGCACTACTTACTAAGAACCGTCGGCAACTGACTTGACAATACCAGTGAAAGACATGCTCTGTCTCTTGCGTGCTTTGTGGTGTCCAGTAGAGAAAACCATCGAGTGATTTGCTGTGTCAGAAGGACAGTTAGCTACTTAATAGGAACCATAGGTGACGATTTGTCAAGACCAGTGAAAGATATGCTCTTTCTCTTCCGTGGCTTACGGTGTCCTATGAAGAAAAACATCGGGTGACTTTTGTGCGCCAAGGATAGTGATCGGGTTACCCGGTGTCTTCTGTTATCGCCTTGTGAAGACCCGTGAAAGACATGCGATGTCTCGTGCGTCCTTTACGTTGTCCGTCGAGAAAGATATAGCGCCTTTTTTTTTTTTTTATACCCAAAATTGTCCCAGCTCCCCTTTGCCCCAAGGATAGTGATCGAGTTATCTGGCGTCTTCAGTTATTGCCTTGTAAAGACCAGTGAAAGACATGTAACGTCTCGTGTGTGGTTTACGCTGTCTGTCGAGAAAGACATAGCGCCCTTTTGGCACCTAAAATTGCCCCAGCCCACCTTCGTCGCCTGGTAGCGCCGCCTCTGACCTACAACGTAAACCCTTTATGAGCGGTGATATCTAACACTATGACACAACAGTTCTCCTTTTTTTTTTTAACTACAGCTCAACCATATATGTACGGCCAGAACCCGACACTTTGCCACACCTGTCGTCCTTTTGTTATTTTTCCCACTACAATTTAAACTACGGATGAGTGGCCGGCCTCCCATAATATGTTACAAAAGTCGCCCTTCTGTTAACGCTTTCGTTTTTACTGCAACTAAACCCTCCCTAACCTATCAATATCTAACACTATGATAAGACACACGCCAAATGTCGTATGTTTTCCTTTTTACTACAGCTTAAACTATTTCTGCGCGGCCGGCATTCCTTATTATTGTTGACATAAAAGTTGTCATTTTGCCATAAATTCCCATCTTTACCTAAAATCAAAACCTCAATGATCGGTTGGCATTCGCTGCTATGACACAAAAGTCATTTTACCCTGTGCTTTCATTGTATATTTACCCGTTTGGTTTACTAATATTGTCTCTTTTATGGCATCCCTATATTTTGCTGTGCTGTTGATTTTGTGTCAAGTGCATCTTATAACTTAAAATACCTGCTATGTATATTGAGCATGCTTCAAATAAATAAAAGTGACTGTATTGACGCCCTTTGATATGCACAGTGAAAAAAAAAAAAACATGTTAGCAAAAATAGCGATAATTTTGTCACAGTGTGGTTTTCGTATTTGATAAAAGTCGTCTTGTGTTTCTTAAAAGGAGCCCTATGTTGAGTAAAAAAAAAAAAGTCCCTAACATATCAATATCTAACACTATGATAAGACACACGCCAAATGTCGTATGTTTTCTTTTTTTATTTCTGCGCAGTCGACCTTCGCTCCCCTGACACAGATGATGATGATGGCGCTCAAGTCGCCCTTTAGTATATATCCCCGGTCATCAAACCACCTTTCTAGGTTTCTTTACCTAAACCCTAAAACGCCCCCTCCCCCTCTGCCGGCTGTCACTGCTGCCTATGTCTATTTTCATATCCCATAACTTGTTTCGTTTTATAACATATATATCTCCCGCTAACAACCCACTTCTAATTTTTTGTCTATTACAGAACCCATAAAACCAACACCAACCGGTTTAGTCGCCCTGTCGCCCCGTGTCCCTTGCCCCGCCCGCCCCGCTGCTCACCGATGTCAGGTAAGCCCCTTCTCTTCTGCCCTCGACACTATGACAAGACAGCTACCCTTCTGTCGTATGTCCTCCTTTTTACTACAGCTCAAACCATCCCTTCAATACCATGACACAGATGATGATGATGGTGCTCGAGTCGCCCTTTCTAATATATCCCCGGTCATCCGCCACTTTAACCAACATCTGGCCCTGCACTAAAGAAATATTTGTCTTCCTTAAACCACTCTGCCTAAAAATACCCACACCCCAACATACCGACAATGAATAACCAGTTGCTATGGAGACAACATATTGATTTATGCACCATATGTCTGTTCTCTTGTATAGGTTGAGCGGTCGACCTTCGCTACCATGACATAGATGATGATGATGGCGCTCGAGTCGCCCTTTCTAATATATCCTCGGTCATCCGCCACTTTAACCAACATCTGGCCCTGCACTAAAGAAATATTTGTCTTCCTTAAACCACTCCGCCTAAAAATACCCACATCCCAACATACCGACAATGAATAACCAGTTGCTATGGAGACAACATATCGATTTATGCACCATATGTCTGTTCTCTTGTATAGGTTGAGCGGTCGACCTTCGCTACCATGACATAGCTGATGATGATGATGCCGGCGCCCAATCTGCCCTTTCTAATACATTCCCGGTCATCATGCCGCCTTCCTAGTCGCCCCGGGTCCCCTGCCCCCGCTGCTCACCTAAATAGTGTTCCTGACCTCACCCTTTATATAACGCCACCTGTCACCTGCAGTTATGAAGATAATAATGCATCTACAAAGTATCGATTTCCTATACCTTTCCCTAAAACCAATCACTTTTACCATCACCAACCGCCCGATCGATATTTACTAAGGACAAAGAGGGCGGGTGCCCCGATCGATATTTACTAAGGATATATAAACCCGCCAGAAAGAACCAATCACTTTTGGCCGCCATCTTTTACTAAGGATAAAGAGAGATCGATTTCTGAAATACGGCCCGTATCACGCTGATACACTACTAATATATCTTCAGTAAGTCAACATTGTCTAACACTGGCAGCTCTTGTTTCTTGACACAGAGGGTATGCTGTATCTTTTACAAATATATTTTCAGAAAGTTAAAACACCGACTGCTCCTGTTTGTTGAAACAGAGGGTATATTGTATCTTTTACCAATATATCTACAGTAAGTCAACATTTTCTAACACTGTCTGCTTCTGTTTGTTGACAGAGGGTATGTTGGCCCAGGAGGCATCAGCGAGGGCGGCTTGTATGCGAACTGTACGGGCGGGGCTACAGGATATATAGACGCTGTGGTACTAGGGTACCAACACTTGTACGGTCATCCTACATCTGAGGTACGTAAAGTATAGTAAAGTAAAGTAAAGTAAAATAAAGTAAAGTAAAGTAAAGTAAAGTAAAGTAAAGTAAAGTAAAGTAAAGTAAAGTAAAGTAAAGTAAAGTAAAGGACCCTCTTCCACGCCTTTGGGCGTATAGGGCTAGACCTAAATTTTTATAGACCAATCGGCACAAGATGGGTGATGTGGCTAGCATAACGCCGGCCGCCTTTACTTCCCAGGACTGCACCCGGTACCCACTCAAGGCTGGGTCGACCTGGGAGCCAAGATCATTTTTGAAAAAAGTCCGGCTCCTCCAGGGAGCGAACCCACGACCTTCCGATCCGCGGCGAGCGTGCAGCTGCTCCGCCACGGCGACTCCCCTCAGGTATGTACAGCCAAGTTAATTCCTATACTACCAGCGTAGTTTTTCTTTTCTATTGTTCTTGTTGTTGTTTGTCCTTTGTGTTTTAAATGGCTTTTCCAAATTGTCCTTACTGTTTTTTCTATAAAAAAAGTATTATACTTAGTTGTGTATCCTTTTCAACAAGGCTATTCTATTAGAATTACTCAAGAGCCAACATTTTGAAAATAGGGATTTTCACGAGCCAGAAGAGCGAGCCCTTTATAGAAAGACCATTCTTACAAAACAACTGGTAACGGGTCCGCATGCCGCTTGCTAGGCCTTTGCAGGCCAGATTTTACCCGCAGGCCGCCAATTGTATAGTTTTTCTTTATAGTGTACAGGAAGTTGCAAATCCAATACAATAATTTTTGTTAGAGAGAGGGAGAGAAAAAAACACGCAGAAGCAAGAGGTAAAAACAAAGCCATAAGGAAAGAAAGAGAGACAGATTTTAGTAAGATGGATAATGAGAGAGAGAGAGAGAGAGAAGAGAAAAAGAAAGAGAGAGAGAGAGAGAGAGAGAGAGAGAGAGAGAGAGAGAGAGAGAGAGATGAACCATGAAAGAGAGAGTAACACGAAGGGAGACAGAAAAAGAAACCGAGTGGGAACAAGAAAGAAATTAGCAAAGAAAATTTTAAAGAGATTGATAGAAAGGTGGAGAAAAGAGAGCGAACGAACGAACGACGAACGAAAGAACAAACTTTATTTTCGAAGGGTTACAAATTGGGCACGCAGGCCCGTCTGACATTCAGCCCTTCTAAGCACTCATTTTACAGAGTACCAATGCTTGTTTTCAATAATGCATGTTATGGATATAATAAAGAAATATGCATTATTTAATAGTGCATACACACATCATGTGTACACAAACACACTCACACTCTTACATTCTCATACATGCATATTCATATGCAGACATACCTAATACATACATACAGGCATCTACATAAACAGAAAACACACACCCATACATAAACATAAATGCACAAACAGAAAACAAACACATATACATGCACACACACATTCATTCCATACATACACACCTACACATGCATGCATGCATGCATGCATGCATGCATACACATATATATATATATATATATATATATAGAGAGAGAGAGAGAGAGAGAGAGAGAGTAAGAGAGAGAGAGAGAGAGAGAGAGAGAATGTTAATATAACGTTGTTTGGGCAGGAGTAGTAAAACATGTGTAAATGTTTCATTCATAAGCAGCTTACTTAACCCCCGTGAGGGTTCCGGGGCCCTCTTATAGGGAAAACAAGAACAAACCTACTGCCTACCCAAAAGCATGTCGTAAGAGTCGACTAATTGGGAGCTTCCTTCGAAGTCGAAGTGCGTCTGCCTGAGAGGCAAAGAACCAACAGTCTGTACACAAATGTGTCAAATATGTCCAACGGATGCACACGCATTATTCAGGTTCTGGAACAGGACTGCAGTTCAGAAGTGGATGAAAAACCAGAACTTTCCACCAGAGTTTACAGCCGGTGAATGCAAAGAAGAAGAAGATAAGCAGCTTACTGTATACCCCACAATTTCCTATTGTGCTGGAAATGCAATCACCGCGTGGAGGCAGTGATAAATATTAAAAATTAAAAAAGGATCGGGGAGAGGGCAGTGATATTTTAGGAATGTATCCCAAGATTCAACTTTGGCTATTTTGTCAATAATAAATCGTACTCATAAAAAGATGTATGGTACAGCACTGTTATATATTGTCTGTCTACAGGTGGTATATCAGACAGTGCAACCTTTTGACCCCGAAGGACTTCTGGCAACTCTGAACAGCGTCTTTCTCTGTTTTCTCGGAATCCAGGTAGGAAAATATTCACTACACATAATAATTACTTTCTAATAGTTTACTCGTCTAGGGTTTTATAGATTTTTACATTTGAAAAAAAAGTAAAGTAAAGTAAAGGACCCTTTTCCACGCCTTTAGGCCTATATGGCAAATGGGGCTAGACTTATATTTTTATAGACCAGTCGGCACAAGATGGGTGATGTGGTCAGCATCACACCGGCCGCCTTTACTTCCCGGGACTGCACCCGGTCAAGGCTGGGTCGACCTGGGAGTCAAGGTCATTTTTGAAAATAGTCCGGCTCCGCCAGGGAGCGAACCCACGACCTTCCGATCCGCGGCGAGTGTCTCGGCCACGGCGACTCCCCTTTACATTTTATCACTCATATCAATACGTTCAAGAGCAGCAGATTAGATCGTTTGACTGCTTTATAAGAATGCCCTATTACCCACGTATAATAATACCTCAGAGAGCAACGTAAAAGAAATATAAAACAGAACAAAAGGAAGATCGCCTATGCTCCCAGCAGGCTGAATGTAATTAAAGTTTTTTTTTGTTTGTTTGTTTGTTCGGAATCAGAATGATCAGCCAAATAAGGGTACGATAGCGTTAAAAATAATCTTTTAAAAAAACTTGTAAAACCATTAGAAAGAGCGCAACGTTTATTTTTTTTTTTTTAATCTAAACGTATTCTTTATAAAGAGGTCCCTGGATCATCGTTAGAACTACTAGGTTCGTGCTTTGTGTGAAGCCTTCAACCGTTATGTGAACGGAAATTGAAGGATATGGGATATCGCCAGAATAAACGAAACAATCATCATTAGCTGCACTGGAAACACGACAAGTAGTATGTTAGCGAAACAGCAGAGTTCTCCCATTTTACACTGGAAACACGACAAGTAGTATGTTAGCGAAACAGCAGAGTTCTCCCATTTTACACTGGAAACACGACAAGTAGTATGTTAGCGAAACAGCAGAGTTCTCCCATTTTACACAGCCCACACAAGGTAACGTCAGCGTCTGTGGCTAGGCGTTGAGCACGCGCTTCATAATGCCAGGGTGCCGGTGCGGGCCTTGCGTTGGTTTCGACAATGGTATCGAGAAGCCGACCGTCCAGAGAGCAATGGCAAACAATTGAACGTAAATTTGTCTAGAAAAATCACAACAGCCAATGCTAGGGTTGGTTCTGCAACGTCCTGTAAAGGATAGACAGCTTACTTAACACAAGGTAACATATTCTTCCTAACCTAACGTTGAAAACATTATAAGGGCATCAGAAAGAAAAACAATGAGGACAGACTGGGGGACAGTCAGATGAATAGTATTACTTGTCGCGTTAATACATGCTGGCGTTCGTCTGTTACATATTTAACTTGTATGTGGTTCGAAGTGTTGTCTTCTTTATTTAAAAAAGTTGTCTCTCATTTATCGCTTCTTGTAGCCTTTACATTCTTGACGGCGTCCATGGCTTAGATATTGCGAGTCCGACTCGTAATTCCAACGTACCGCGATCGAACCCACTGCAGGCTGCGTGGATTTTAATCATGGTATGGGGCGTCGCAGGTCGACCCAGCCTAAAATGGGTACCAGGATGGATGTCCTGGGGAAGTAAAGACGGCCGGCGTAATACTTGACCACATTACCCACCTAGTGCCGATTGATCTGTAAAAAAAAAAATTGGGGTGCTCTTCCCATATGTCCGATGCGCCTAAAAGGCGTGAAAACAAATATTTTTACTTTACATTCTTAGTAACACAGTAGCGTAGTGGATATAGACGCTCAACTTTGGCCCTAAAGGTTTTGTGTTTCGAATCTAATCTAGTCGGATTCCCCCCCCCCTCCCCCCACACCTCTCACCCCCTCCTCCATAATGGACCTCGTCTCTGAGGTCCACCCAGTCTAGAACTGATACCATGTAATTAACCGGGAAGTAAAGGTGACCGGCGTGATATTGAGTACATTGCTCACCAAGTACTGAGTTGTCTAACATCGTAAACATGATGATCTAGCATCAAATGCCTGATGCGTCATGTGTGTAAAAAAAAGTTCATTTACTTTATCTTTAAATTTTTAAACTTATTATAATATATGGAATTTACTAGACTGCTCCTGTAATCACCACACCGTATTCTACTTACATTTGATACGCTTTTGTGATTACAGTGTGGAAGAATTATATTGATCTACCAGGGGCATAAGCAGAGGCTTCTTCGCTTCCTGATATGGGCAGTTGCTTTGGTAAGTAGAATTAACAAGATGGCGAATATTTCCCTATGCGACAGCTAATGTGGTGCGTTGATCAACATGTATAGAATGTAGAAGGATTAATATAGGAAAGGCATGGTAGAGCAGTGGTTAGCATGCTTGCCTATGACCCACTAACTGCAGGGTTGAATCCCAGTCTGAAACCTTTTTTTTTAAAATTAAAATGTCCATCCAGTCTAAAGGAGGGAGTCGCCGTGGCAGAGCGGCTAGACGCTCGCCGCCATCGGAAGGTCGTAGGTTCACTCCTTGGCGGAGCCAGACTTTTTTTCAAAAAATTACTTTGGCTTCCAGGTCGACCCAGCCTAGAGTGGGTACCGGGTGTAGTCATGTGGAAAGTGAAGGCGGCCGGCGTGATGCTGACCACATCATCCATCTTGTGGCGATAGGTCTATAAAGTTTAAGTCTAGCCCTTATGCTCTATACGCCTAAAGGCGTGGAAAAGGGACCTTTATCCAGTCTAAAGAGGTCACAGAAAATTTCTGAGAAATAAAGGCTATCGGCTTGCTAATCAGCAGTAAGATAGTTGAAATTTGTGACCTAAAAGGCAGAAGAAGAAAAAGAAGAGACAGAGGAGGAAGAGGAGGAAGAAGCAGAAGAAGAAGAAGAAGAAGAAGAAGAAGATGAAGAAGAAGAAGAAGCAGAAGAAGAAGAAGAAGAAGAAGAGACAGATGAGGAAGAGGAGGAGGAGGAAAAAGCAGAAGAAGCAGAAGAAAAAGAAGAAGAAGAAGAAGAAGAAGAAGAAGAAGAAGAAGAAGAGAAGAAGAAGAAGAAGAAGAATTCCTTCTGGTGTAATAATTATTACCCAAAAACAATTCCTTCTGGTGTAATAATTATTACCCAAAAAACAATTTCTTCTGGTGTAATAATTATTACCCAAAAACAATTCCTTCTGGCGTGATAAATACCCAATAACAATTCCTTCTGATGTGATAGTTAATACCCAATAACAATTCCTTCTGGTGTGATAATCAATACCCAATAATAATTCCTTATGGTGTGATAATCAATACCCAATAACAATTCCTTCTGGTGTGATAATCAATACCCAATAATAATTCCTTATGGTGTGATAATCAATACCCAATAACAATTCCTTTTGGTGTGATAATCAATACCCAATAACAATTCCTTCTGGTGTGATAATTAATACCCAATAATAATTCCTTCTGGTGTGATAATCAATACCCAAAAACAATTCCTTCTGGTGTGATAATTATTACCCAATAACAATTCCCTTTGGTGTGATAATCAATACCCAATAACAATTCCTTTTGGTGTGATAATTAATACCCAATAACAATTCCTTCTGGTGTGATAATTATTACCCAAAAACAATTCCTTTTGATGTGATAATTAATACCCAATAACAATTCCTTCTGATGTTTTATTCTAGGGTGCACTAGCAGCTCTGCTGACCAAATGTAGTAGAGATGATGGATGGATTCCCCCTAATAAAAATCTCTGGTGAGTTTATCCCTTCTACGTCAATCTGCTTATGCATTACATCAGTGTTTCCCAAACATTTTCTTGGTCACGGCGACTTTTTTCAAATAAAATTTTTCTACGGCGCCCTAACCTCAGTAAAAGAATGACTATTCATGTCTTGGTTTAATTAATTATGAAGCTTTTTCAAAATTTCGCAGCGCCCCTGTGAAGAGGTTTCGGCTCCCCGGGGTGCCGCGGTGCAGAGTTTAGGAATCGCTGCCCTACGTAGTAATCAATCATCGATAGGTATTGCTTAAACTCACAGACTTACAGACTGGGCAGGTGTTCTCAGAAAGACGTGGATCAAGATGAAACACACAACTTCTGACATTAATCAACATGGCGCGTCTAAATAAACTTGCTCATACAGACACAAAGAGATTTCACTTCTGAGAGGAAGACAGAAAGATGGTTTTAATAAATGGAATGCGTTAGAACTGATTTCACTGCATCGTGGTTAAACGATATAGATCGGTTAATCTAAACAGAAAAGCTAGAGATGAAAAGAAGGGGAGGAAGTGAGTAGAAATATACAGTGAACAAATTACACAGACAAACGGACAGATATGTAGAAATGCAAATGCATACACACACACATGTATATAAATGTATATATAAAGACTTATGCAAGTGCCATCTGTGCAATAATATCTATTTTTTGTTAAAAGTGCCAGAGAGTGACTGGGTGAAACAAATAGAGGCATGAAGGAGACAAAGAGGGAAACAATTTAGCAGTGGAAGAAAGAGAGAGAGAAAGAGTGCGAGAGATAGATAGAGAGAGAGAGATAGAGAGAGAGAAAGAGAGAGAGAGAGAGAGAGAGAGAGGAGGGTAAAAATGCATAGGGGGTGGATGATAACTTTGTATACTATCACATTTACAGGTCATTTTCATTCACGTTGATAACTGCATCATTCGGATTCGTATTTCTGTCCGGAATATACATTGTTACTGATCTGTTTGGAGTATGGGCGGGGCAGCCGTTTATTTATCCAGGTATGATGATAAAATTTAGCATCTGCACATACTTATATGAGCAGTTCTGTATTTTTAATCATGTCTGTGTATATGTAGTGATATTTCAGAAGAACCGCTACGAGATCAAGAGGACGGGCCCAAAAAAAAAAAAAAAATGAATTGACAATAATTTCTTAATGACGGATGTGGTTTATGATAATGATTCTAATTTTTACTATGAAGATAACGTGGATTCAAATACTAGTGTAAAAAATGTCCTTGTAGTTTAAGTTATACTTAATATAAACATACACTGTTTTGTCAGTGCTGGTGTTAATCATGGAGCTGCGGTAGTGTAGTGGCTAAAAGTTCATGTGTTGGCTGGAAGGTGTTGGGTTCGAATCCGCATCAAGCAGTTTTTTTTTTCCTTTAAAAATTACTTTGACCCAGCCTAAAATGAGTACCATGTCTTCTCTTCTTCTTCTTCTTCTTAGCGTCCAGATACTGAAACTCACGCAGAAGGTTCTAGTTGTTCCTTCACTTCTGCATTTAGTCTTGTTCCAGAACTTGAACTTGCGTGCACGCCCGTTTTACTTTTTTGTTCACTTGTATGCAGACTGTTGGTTCCTTGCTGCTCAGACATATATGCTCCAATTTCAGGGAAAATATCATTATTGTTACGCCTTTTATGACATGTTTGTTAAGGACAGTGAGTCTGTCCCCCACCCCCCCCCCCTTTTTCCCCGAAACGGGGTCCTGGAACCCGCACGGAAAGGGGACCAGATAATGTCTTGGTAAGTAATGACAGCCGACGTGATGTTGATTACATCACCACAGAGTGCTGACTGGTCTCCAAAAATATATGAGTCCAGCGTCGTGTGCCAGTGGCGTGAGAAAATGTCCTTTAATTTTTTTAATGTAGTAATTCACGTCCTTGAAGTGTGTGTTCGTCTTCTGGGTATATTTATATGTATGGCGGTGAATGGTGGAGTTAGTTCATTGTTAAACTTAAATAAACATAAACTTATACCGACTTGAGTAAAAGTGCAAATCGTCTCTCTCTCTCTCTCTCTCTCTCTCTCTCTCTCTCTCTCTCTCTCTCTCTCTCTCTCTCTCTCTCTCATTTTCTCTCCCTATCTCTCTCTACCTCTCTCTTGTTTGTGTAAATTTCTAACACGAACATATTATTTTGGGAATTAAAAGTGTCAGTTATATTTCAGGAATGAACAGTATTGTGATCTACGTCTGCCATGACATTTTCTCCAATACATTCCCCGTGTCCTTCGAAGTTGACCACCAACACTGGAAGCTGCTGCTGCGCTGTGTATGGGGCACGTCCTGTTGGGTGATCGTGGCCTACTGGCTTTACATCAAAAAGATCTTTATTGCACTGTAATGGTTTTTGTCTATTGGTGTTGACATAAGCAAACACTTATCATCGTCATATCTGTGTTTGTGTTTCTCTCACTTGCGATCATTTCTAAACGTGTGTACATATTTGAGCAGGTTTTAATCAATGCAAACAAAATAACTAGGCAGTTTTAGTAACAGCAAGGATCTCAGTGTGGATTCAGGAACTCCATTATGGGAATGGAAGGGGGAGATATCCACTGCGCCTAAAACAAGCATGTCGTAAAAAGCTTCTTTATTAAGGGTTTGCTGAAACCTTATGTGTTGGGCCGAAAGGAAGCAGACGTCACAGCACAAATGTAAACTAAAACAAGAAGAAGAAGGAGGAGGAGGAGCAGAAGGAGAAGGAGGAGGCGTATGAAGAGGATAAAATAATAGCAGCAATAGTTTTCAACCTTTTTCAAGTTTATCTTGACTTTTTCATTATTATCCGACCCCAATGAGGGAAAATCCACAGGTCGCGGGACAGTCTAATGATTCAAGGGGGTGGTAGATAAGCTGCATGCAGTCGTAGGACCTAGGCTGCGCTCTCTCGTGGGACAAGGTGGGTTGGGGTTAGGGCCAGTTCTAGATGTTTTGGGGGTCGTTAAAGGCATCAAAAAGCAGGGAAACCCAGTTTTACCGCCCTCGAAAATGTTAGACTGTCCTGTGACGTCATCTGGGTGGGGGTAGGATATTAATAAAGAACCTTGTTTTGTGCTGTAAAAAGGCATGGGAAATGACAGTCCATAGTGATGGCCTCCTTTCCATAGCACCAAGCATAAGCAATTGATGGCCTCCTTTCCATAGCACCAAGCATAAGCAATGGCATAGAAACAATGTGTTGCTTGCTGTAGTTACCTACAGTTTAAACACTGTTTGTAGTAGATATCTACAACTGGAATTTCTACAGCTACAGTCACGCCATTAGCTACGGCTACCTACAGATAAAATGTTTACAGTAACATCAGCGCTGTTTACTGAAGCTGCCTTCAGTTGGAATGTTTACAGTATTGTGTGTCTGTCTATTCTGAGGATAAAAGAGACACGATTATGTCAATCACTTTGCTTTAGATATACTATGATGATTATACTTCACTGAGTGCTAATGCTGAGATTATGGGACCCCATTAGTATTCGTTTTTTTTTTTTTTTAACCAGGACACTGTATGTATGTAAATCAATCCAGCGATAAGCTGGTGGAAACAGCGAAAGGGGGACATGGGGTGAAGGTCGTGACTGCTGTTAAACTGATATGCAGAGATGATTACTATTGTATGCTATTTTAGACCTTTTCCTTATGGGAATCACCGTACGGGTGTTGGAATGGTGAAGCAAATCGACCCAGAAAACGAGGACATACAAGAAAACCCTGAGGCGGACTTAGCTGAAAGAGACCAAACGTACTGGATTGGATTCCATCCATGATATCGAACGTATTGCACACGATGGAATTTAGAGGGTGTTGGGCTAGACTGGGAGCCCTGTGTGATGTATCACAGTATATCAGGATGGTGGTGACTTTGGTGATGGTGGGGGTGATGATGATGACAACGATGATGATTGTGGTGGCGATGATGATGACAAGTTTTTTTTTTTACTTTGCAAATTTTTTTTTTTGGGGGGTAGTTAATTTGCATTGTTTTCTTCGTAGATAAAGACCTGATAACAACGTTCGCTTGTTATATGTGTATCTTTTCTTCTATTAGTTGTAATTTGTATTCATTGACTCATTCATTGTATATAAAGGAGAGAGTTTTCAGTACTCGCATGACCTTTTCACGACGTAGACGATCTGAACCCCAGTGCCTCGGACTTGGAGTTTAAAACTGTCTTACAGACGAACGATCACAACCAATAAATACCTCCACACAAAAACTGTTTGTGTATCTTGTAAAACTACTGTGTATGCTAGCGTTAGTTAATAATTTTCCCCTTTATAATCTCTAGTATTTGTGTGTTAAAATTTAGCCAAGCTGAAAATGAATTTATATTTTACATTTATTCTAATAATTGTAGTACCAGAGCACTATCAGAATACCAGAGGAAATGAACAGTCTGACCTGTGTAGGGTCATGATCACATAGGGCCGGGAGTGCAGAGAGTAGCCAGCGGGTGCTGGGAAGGTGGAAGTCCAACAGTTAATTCATGACCATTCTCGTGCAGATGATCTAATTATCTATACAGATGGTTCTGTGTTAAGAGAGAAAAGAAGTGCCTGGGGGTTCGTAGCGAAAGCCAGTGCAGGACAGCCTAGCATATGATACCACAACATTTAGCATGAGAATGGAGATGGTGGTGGTCACTGCAGCTCTCCGGTGGCTAGAGAACAAGATGCATACACATGTAATTATAACAGACTCTAAAAGCATGCTGAGAAAGGTGAAGCCAGGGATTCTTTGAGTGGAGTGGCAAGCTTCATTGCGAAAGGTCACGTGTAGTGAGCATACTTTGGATCTTTTCTCCAGACGATGCCGGCGTGGTGGGGAATGAAAAGGCAGACAATTGGCTGGGTTTGCACCTCTGGGTAGTGAATTGATACATGACAAGGAAGATGTGGTCACGGCCCTTTGGGAACAAGTAACAAAGAATAGAAAAAAAAAAAAGATTATTATGGCCTGGAGAAAACGAGGCACCTGGGTCTAACCAGGGGTCTGACCAGCTCACGATACGCAAGACGGACATATTGCGACCGGTACTATTAGTATTGGAAGTCTGAGCTGGCTACTGAAGATGAGGACGGAGCGCGTATGGGAATGCCCCGAGCGCTGTGATGTCAATACTTGACTCAACTCAACAATTTATTTTCTGCGTTTAACTCTCTTACTAAGCTATCAATGCCAAACGTGGACACTTACATCCTCCAATGAAAGTAAAATTGTGACAACAGAGATGAAATGCCTTAGAAGAGCTACAGGAGTTTCAAGGAAAGACATAATACGAAATCATGAAATCAGACGAATGCTATGAATAAAGCCAGTCTTACAGCTCATCAAAGAACAACAAATGAAGTGGTTTGGACACCTAACAAGAATGCCCTGGTACTATCTGACACAGCGAGCCACACTAAAACGTTAAAACGGGTATAGAGCGAGTGGAAGACCTCGGAAAATATGGAGTGATGGCATTAAGAACAGCCTTACGGAAATGAACATCAGTCTTAATAGTGCTCTTGACAGAGTTTACCAACGAACATTACATATCCCCCCGACACTTCGATGAGGTGGAAGAGAAGAAGAAGTTTAACTCTTTAGTAGAAAAAAATAGTTGCGTATCTTTGACACAGGGCGTTACAGAACCAGTTCAATATTTTTGGATGGTTGTGACAAATTGCCCTCACTAGAATCGAACCTGGCACCTTGGAATTACGAAACATGTTCGAAACTCCTAAATCACGGACGACGACTGCCACTCTAATGATCTGCAGCAGATTTGAAAATACTGTGTCCAATTTTAATCATTTATTACAGCGAGGTTTTATACTTTTTTCGCATCCTTATTCTCTTCCTAATCCTTTTATGTCTTCTTTCTTTCTTTCTTTCTTTCTTTATATCTTTCTGTCTTTTTTTCTATCTTTCGTTCTGTCTTTCTTTCTGTCTTTCTTTTCTTTCTTTCTTTCTTTCTTTCTTTCTTTCTTTCTTTCTTTCTTTCTTTCTTTCTTTCTTTCTTTCTTTCTTTCTTTCTTTCTTTCTTTCTTTCTTTCTTTCTTTCTTTCTTTCTTTCTTTCTTTCCTGTCTTTCTTTTTTCTTTCTTTCTTTTTCTTTCTTTCTTTCTTTCTTTCTTTCTTTTCTTTCTTTCTTTCTTTCTTTCTTTCTTTCTTTTTCTTTCTTTTCTTTCTTCTTTCTTTCTTTCTTTTCTTTCTTTCTTTCTTTTTTTTCTCTTTCTCTCTTTCTTTTCTTCTTTTCTTCTTTCTTTCTTTATTTATTTCTTTTCGTTCTTTCTTTCCTTCTTTATGTTTTCGTTTTCTTCTTCCTCCTCCTCCTCTTCTTTTTCTTCTTCTTCTTCTTCTTCTTCTTCTTCTTCTTCTTCTTCTTCTTCTTCTTCTTCTTCTTCTTCTTTAGTTTCCCAGATCGCAGGAACGTACAGCGAGTACAAGAAACACGCGCGAACAAGCTGCTGGGATGTAAAGATAGCCTGCTTGATGTTGACGTTATTATCCGTCGAGTGTCAGGGAGTCTGCAAGTGTATGGGACTAGCGCCATATATTCAGCCCTTTAGGTTTAAGATTTTGTAAGGGCCCTTTGGGAGCGAGTACACAGTGCGGAGGAATAAACAGATCATCACGGCACGTGCTCAGCACGTTAAAAATAAGAATTACTAAATCTTATGTATTCACAGCTTTATATTATGCGTTAAAGCATGGAAAATCATACTCGCACTTAAAAAGTCGTTCTGAGACCACAGAGAATTTCAGAGGAGACTCCAAAAAAGAAGAAAGTCATTGGGAAATTAATCAGATACACAGTTAAACGATTCGGCCACAGAAAAAAAAATACTGAACTGAGAGAACCATCGAAGTCTAGGTAAGGTATACTGCGATACAAGAGGGAAAATGATATCGAGAGAGACGAAAAAAAACAGTATGGGAATTTACCAAAGTCAAAGCCCTGAGAATGTGGAAGATTATGTGTATGTAACGTTAGGCGCTGGAACCTAGATGCTTCGAGCCGCTTAACCCCACCCCCACCCCCAGTTCTTTTAGAGAGCTAAGCCCCAGGCCGTCACACCCCCTTCCCTTTTTTTCCCAGCCCTCTTCTATATCAAAGAGGACAACTCATTTTAAACATCAATCCAGTGAATTCACGTAACTTCACATAGAATAATAGACCGCTTGTAAAAATGGCAGGAATGCCGTGTGATGTCAGTTCTTAGATCAGCACTCAATAAAAAGAAAAGCATATCCTGATTATATTGTCGTGTCTGTTTATCCTCGGCCTACTCTATTTATTAGAGAAGCCATTGGTTTATCCTAACTTAAAACTGCAATAAATGAGTGCTTCGTGTTAA